TAAAATACTTATAAAGTTATATAAAAATCGAGGAAAATTGTCATCGGCAGTGGGATATATCAATGACAGTTACCTTTTGTACATAAAATTGCTTTGAATTCACCTATAAACAAATGTGCATGTATTTACAATAGATTACTTTAATGCCTGTCGAATACCTTCCTGTTGGCTATATCATACAGAAGCGTATTGTCAATTTGGTATATCTCTGAAAACACTATACAACTCAGTTCGTTGCCTCCGACAGAGCATGCAGCAAAATGCACAAACTCATATCAGTACTTAGTGAATTACCGATAAATAGATAAGTACATACATAAAAACGCTTATTAGGTTATATACACATTGAGAAATATTGGCACATGTCATTGGCAGTTAACATCTGTATATAAAATTGTTTTAAATTCACCTACAAATACAGCATGCAGCAAAATGCCTAAACCCATTTCAGTGCTGAGTGAATTGCCGATAAATGTTGGGGAACAATCTAAGCCGCGCAAAGTATGACTTTCGGGAACAAATTACAACAGTCGTCCTTCTATCATTCTATCCCATATTTGGAATAACACAATCGAGAAACATGGAGAGTCAAGACATGTTACGCTTGATATTCCTAAGGCCGTTGACTGTGTGTGACATGGGGGTTTGCTTTGGCTATAACTTGTCGGATCAATTTTGTGTATAGCTCTCCAGCTTCCTGAAAGAACGTTCCCTACAAGTGGCCGTCGATGGATATATCTCGAATACTTTCACCATCAACGCCGGTGTTCCCATATTGTCTCCAACCCTCTTTTGATTTTATATCGACGATTTATTGGAAGAAAAAAGAATTCAATGTATTGCTTTGCTGACGACAGCATACTTGTCTCGTCATTCCATTTGGATTCCAGGACATCGGCTGCGGATGCACATCTCTACCGGCAGCAGGTGGTGGTATATCTTATTGAGGATCTAGAGGTGATTTCGAATTGGAGTGAAAGTTACCAGGTTCAAATGAATGCCACGAAAATCCAGACATCGGTTTTCTCCAAAAAGATAAATGTCTCCGAACCGAATATAATAATGTCAGATCAGACAATTCCGCTTTCTGCTTCGATAAGTCTGTTGGGGGTTGAAATTGACACCAATATATCTTGGCACAATTATATCGCTGGAATTTTAAAGGCTGCTTCTCAAAAGCTTGGAACACTGTACCGAATCAGAAAACTGTACACACCTCAGCAACTTCTGATGCTTTATAACGCTCGGATCAGACCTTCTTCGAAGTATTGTTCTCATTTATGGAGTTTCGCCCCTAAGCATACCATGAAGCTGCTGAATTCCATCCAGAAAAGAACCATCCGTCTGATTGGAGACGCGAACATCACNCGAATCCAATAGTTGATGTCAGATCAGATGGTGTTGCAGATGACTATAGAGGTTTTCGATTGCCCAATATTCAAATACCATCGAAATATGAAGTCAGTTTATTCTTGAATCAATCTGTGTTTGATGGATCTGTGACTTCGTTCAACGGTACGGCCCGAATCACTTTCCAAGTTACCAAGAAAACAGATAAGATTCAAATCCACTCTTCCGTAACTCACTCCTCGATAGAGCTGGAAAATTCTACGATTGGTATCATAACACCATCCCTAAATGGTACAACTGAAATCTTGACAATACCGTTGAACTCGACTTTGGAACCTTCTGTAAATTACTTTCTTGTGATAAAATATACGGGGCAGATAGATATTAGAACGATGAAAGGTTTCTACAGAAGCAGCTTCAATAATGAAAACGGTTCAATTGAATATCTGCTCACAACACAGTTCCAACCAACGCATGCGAGGAAAGCGTTTCCCTGTTTCGATGAACCACAGTTCAAAGCTAGATTTGTAATCAGCATAACATATCCAAAAGGATATAAGGCATTGAGCAATTCTCCACGAGAGAACCTACCAGTCGATCTGGGGTGAGTATGAACTTTATGGTTCTTGGTAGACTATTTAGATAATGCTAATTGATTTCCTACTTGTAGTTGAAGTGCTTTGACGACTGATTGATTTGAAATACTTGAGTTACTCAGAAAATTAATAAACTCACAGCGTAGCTAACCTTATGAAAAAACAAGTGAGAAAAACGACATATTTCTCACGAGCGCAAAAGTTTGTTGCAAATCAAATTAAGCGAGTGAAAAATATGTAATTTTCTTACGGATTGTACACTGTACTTTTTCTACGGTTGCGTTGTTTTCAAGTATTGAAAATTAAAATACATATATAATAATATGTATGTCATTAAGTCATTCTTATATTATATTTAAAATAGTAATTAACAGTTATATTTGAACAATTTTGTAGAGCAATTTCTGGCAGGTCGTTTTGTTTCAACATGTTTTCGGTAATTGAAATATTAGCTGCTGTCGAAGTTGAAGTTGATGGGGAAACGTACTGAGCTTCCACAGCATTGTTGTGTTCAGGTTCTAATGGCGCTGGAGGCTGAATGGATTCTACTATAAGTGTTTCATTTGTGCATGTTCGAAACTTCTCCTGTGACTGTGAAATTTCTAGAAACCTTTGTTTTAGTATCGGGTAATTTTATTAAGAGGGCCGAATTAAGATCTTCCATGTCATCAATCTTTAATTTCCGATGTTTATTACAACGGCATGCTTCTGCAAGGCCAATAGCTAGGGCAGCCTGAAATCAAAACTAAACATTCATTTTTCCATAACAATTTGAAAAATTTCAATTCATACCTACCTTCATCAGCAAATACTTTTCATCAGGTGCATCTTCCAAAAATAGTTGCATTTCTTCAGAAGTTAATGTTTTTGACTATTTTGGAACATATTTTTCAGATTTGCGTTTTAAAAATGCACGTAGTTTTACGTATTTTGATATATCAACACAGTTTTTAATAATTAAGGTACTCCTCATCTTCGAGTACTGAGACCATAATGTTGATGATTTCAATCTTCTTTGACAACTCTTCAAAATGAACTAACAAAGTATTTTCAGAAAAAGAATTTACCTTGGCTTTCATTTTCCAGCCCATAAAGTTTCTGTAAGCGATTTCATATTTTTCTCTTGATGTGCTTGGTAGCAAATTATTGCAAACATCTATTGCTTTCTGAATAATTTCTGGAGGTGTATTTTCCAACTCTAAATCTTCGTATTCCATTATATTCAATATTTAATGAATCTGAACTGTTTATACTAAGTAAAACAATCAACAATAAGACTATTTTCGTTGGGTAAGTTGACAGCAATGATTATACAGTGCTTCGGTTTTGTTGTTATGGAAACGCCGAAAATGGGCTACTTGGATATCGCACGTGAATCGTGCGTAGCGTTGTCAACATGGAGAACGTGCCATATCAATATGACATGTGACAATTTATGACTGACTTGGGTTATGGTGCTAACAGTGACTGTAAACAGTCACTGTATTGACGGATATTTCTCACTGCGTGAGAAATCTTTTGTTATGAACGTATGAAAGCGATGAGAGAAGTGGCACATTGTATAGCATCCGTAGAAAAACTGATTTAATTCATATCTTTATTGAATGTCACTATCAGAACTGCAATAGAGTTGACGCCCAGAGTGATCTTTTGACACTCGGGACGGGATCTGTTGCGTTTTTTTCAAAGGCATCATACTCAAATGCAGCTTAATGAAAGAGCATTTTTTGTTAGTAAAAAAATACTTCAACTCGTGAAAAGCATAGACCACAAAACTCATTATAATATCTCAATCTATGGCACAGAAGGCCTAAAAAAAGAATTGACAGTATTCTAATATTATTCCTCACTTATAACTTATTATTGGCCTGTAATACTGGAACTGATCAGTGAACCGATATGGATTTCTTTATGCCATTGATCAGATGGCATAAAGAAAATACCCTAAAACAATGTTTTAGGGTATTTTCCGAAGAAGGTGCAACATGCACAAGAAAAAATTAAATAGTGCGACATGTTTTATCATCGTACAACATGAAGTAACACTGACATACAATCAACTATTCAATACATATATTTTTTTTAAGTTTGACCACTTTTGTGTGACTTAAGACTTGAGACTATTGTTCATCTTCAATTTTTCAATCTTAGTCGTACCAATTTTACATAACCTCTGAGGAAAAATTCTAGAGACAATACACCTCTAGAATCGAGCACTGCTTGTAAGAATCTAGCAACTGGAATCGCAATAGATTCCGGAGAATTTCAACTGAAAAGTTTCATCATGATTTTTTTGTTATTTTCCCACCCTTAAAACAGAAAACAGATGGCAAAATAACAAAACCTTTCCTCGGATGCAAAATAACGCTACCCAAACCACTGCAATGGTATCTCACCGGATGACCCTGGGTAGGACTAGCATCTAAGTCGGCTAGGTTACTGGTCCAAAGTCTCTCTACATAGGCCTGTTAGGACTGTTTCAAAAGTCGCATATCTATATGAGCTAATGCTCCATAATTCAACACCCAGCATGATCGGCTGCTTGCAAGATGATACTGTTCGCTTGCAGAAGCATTTTGGCCCCTAGCCTGGCACGAGCGTCCGCCGCCGGAAAGGATTCCAGCTCTCCGATCCTGTCCGGCAAATAACGGTACGTGCTGTGACGGACTGGCCAAGTGAGCGCGTCGTCGGCCAGCGCTTGCCAGCATCAACTTGTCTAAACGTGCCGGGGAAGTTTCTATCTCTCTGTTTTGCTATTTCATCAGTTGACAGCACAGTATCAGACGGTACCTATAAAAATGGACGAGGGAAAATTGAGTTGCTTGTTAAGGCAGGCTCTCGAATATCCAGAAGTTATTTTCAAAAATCTGATTTCAAACAAAAAAAAAATGAAAACATTTTAATAAAAAACATTAAAATTGGAACTGTGTCTGATTTCCGAAGATTATCTGTTTCACGTATTCGCTCACGCCTTTATATCTTTGGATCACACATTAAGATTTCCATGCACGTGGATGCCATTTTTTTCACAGACTCTCAAATCGAACATTTCAGGTACAGAATGCGGCTCATAATCCTAGTAGTACTGAATCTTTCATCGATGTTTGCGAATCCAATAGTTGATGTCAGATCAGATGGTGTTGCAGATGACTATAGAGGTTTTCGATTGCCCAATATTCAAATACCATCGAAATATGAAGTCAGTTTATTCTTGAATCAATCTGTGTTTGATGGATCTGTGACTTCGTTCAACGGTACGGCCCGAATCACTTTCCAAGTTACCAAGAAAACAGATAAGATTCAAATCCACTCTTCCGTAACTCACTCCTCGATAGAGCTGGAAAATTCTACGATTGGTATCATAACACCATCCCTAAATGGTACAACTGAAATCTTGACAATACCGTTGAACTCGACTTTGGAACCTTCTGTAAATTACTTTCTTGTGATAAAATATACGGGGCAGATAGATATTAGAACGATGAAAGGTTTCTACAGAAGCAGCTTCAATAATGAAAACGGTTCAATTGAATATCTGCTCACAACACAGTTCCAACCAACGCATGCGAGGAAAGCGTTTCCCTGTTTCGATGAACCACAGTTCAAAGCTAGATTTGTAATCAGCATAACATATCCAAAAGGATATAAGGCATTGAGCAATTCTCCACGAGAGAACCTACCAGTCGATCTGGGGTGAGTATGAACTTTATGGTTCTTGGTAGACTATTTAGATAATGCTAATTGATTTCCTACTTGTAGTTGAAGTGCTTTGACGACTGATTGATTTGAAATACTTGAGTTACTCAGAAAATTAATAAACTCACAGCGTAGCTAACCTTATGAAAAAACAAGTGAGAAAAACGACATATTTCTCACGAGCGCAAAAGTTTGTTGCAAATCAAATTAAGCGAGTGAAAAATATGTAATTTTCTTACGGATTGTACACTGTACTTTTTCTACGGTTGCGTTGTTTTCAAGTATTGAAAATTAAAATACATATATAATAATATGTATGTCATTAAGTCATTCTTATATTATATTTAAAATAGTAATTAACAGTTATATTTGAACAATTTTGTAGAGCAATTTCTGGCAGGTCGTTTTGTTTCAACATGTTTTCGGTAATTGAAATATTAGCTGCTGTCGAAGTTGAAGTTGATGGGGAAACGTACTGAGCTTCCACAGCATTGTTGTGTTCAGGTTCTAATGGCGCTGGAGGCTGAATGGATTCTACTATAAGTGTTTCATTTGTGCATGTTCGAAACTTCTCCTGTGACTTATTTTCCTACCCTTAAAACAGAAAATAGATGGCAAAATAACAAAACCTTTGCTCGGATGCAACATAACGCTGCCTAAACCACTGTAATGGTATCTCACCGGACGACCCTGGGTAGGACTAGCATCTACCATTAATTATATGATCTAGGCGGCTAGGTCACTGGTCCTAAGTCTCTCCACATAGGCCTGTTAGGACTGTTTCAAAACACCCAACATGCTCGGCTGCTTGCAAAATGATACTGTTCGCTTGCAGAAGCATTTTGGTTTGGGCTTCGTTGATCATTCCATAACGAGGTTTTAATTCGATGGCTGAATACCGACAGATGGTGATTCAGCTTTTGTTACATGCAACAGTAGTCCGTCTCCGCTAGCTGTAACGTAACATACTCACGGTTACTTTACGGGTCATTTGTTAAGCTTGTCGCCCACTTGTCTGGCACAACACAGCACGGCCCATCCCGTCAAAATACGAATAGGATTGGAACAATGAAAATGAATCCGCCGCCGGAAAGGATTCCAGCGCTCCGATCCTGTCCGGCAAATAACGGTACGTGCTGTGACGGACTGGCCAAATGAGCGCATCGCCGGCCAGCGCTTACCAGTATCAACTTGTCCAAACGTTCCAGGGAAGTTTATGTCTCTCTGTTTTGCCATTCCATCAGTTGACAGCACAGTATCAGACGGTACCTATAAAAATGGACGAGGGAAAATTGAGTTGCTTGTTAAGGCAGGCTCTCGAATATCCAGAAGTTCTGAAAAGTTGCCTGTAGTCATTCGGGAATCCTGGAAAAATTTCTTCTCGTCCTGTTGAAACCAGATCATTCAATTCAGGCCAAAAGAACTGCTCACCGTTGACAGTGATGGCCTGGATGGATCGATGACGCCGCCAGTCCAAAATCCACACCAACCAGTGACTTTTCGGGATGTACCGGCCGCTTTTGGATTTCATGTGGATTGGTGTCGCCACAAATTCGACAATTTTGTTTTTTAACGTAGGTACTCATTCATCCAGAAAAGGACCTCATTGCTGAAGATGATTTTTCGATGGAAATAAGAGTCAGTTGCCAACTGCTCTAGATCCCATTCAGCGAACCCATGTCGTTGTCTATGGTCGTTTACCTTCAGTTCCTAGGTCAGTTGAATTGTGTACGGCTGTAGGCCCGAGTCAGAACGCAAAATTGGCCAAGTTGTGATCTGCGAAAGGTCAAATTCTTGTGAGCGACGTGATATTGACTGCCTCTAATTCTTCTGCAAACTCTCACAGACAGTGGCGATGTTTTCAGCAGATCTTGCGTTTCTTTGAAGTACGGGTGTTGGTCGATCGTTTACTGGACCAGTGGATTCAAATTTATTCACTACATTGCGAATAGTCCTCTAGGCAAAACAGAATGAATAAATGACAATTAATTTGACAGATGTAGCTTCAACAAGGTGGCCGTTATCAATTGTCGAAGTTCGGAAGTCCCTGTTGAAGACCCTATATAACGAGTGATGTAAAATAGAATTATGACATATCGGCTTTGAAGTTCAAACATTAATGATGAAATATTTATATGGTGTAATTATCGCAATTCTCAGAAAGTAGCAAAGTAACAAATAAGATTCAGCTGTTTTTTTCAAGATAGTCAATATACTGTGAAACAACGTGTCATCAATAAAATTTCCCAAATACCATTTTGAAATAGATAACCGTATTTGATGTTGATTTGAAACGATGCTATAAAATGACTGGAACTGTGATTTGTCATATCTTGAGTTTTTATTGGTTCAGGTAATAATTAGACAATTGATAATCCACAAAATGTTTGATGATCCTAGTACACCGTCTTGTGGAAAACCTGAAGAGATACTAATAATATACTGCAGTTGGTTGACCAACTGTTTTTGAACTTATGATGCACTGTTTGGAACCTTTGGTGTAGTAATGAATATTCCTGGAGTTTTTTCCCAACACCAAATCGTTATTTTTAACACCTCGACACGTGTTTCGATCACCAAGTGATCATCTTCAAAGAGGAAGATTAAAACTGGAAACTAATGCGAAGCTAACCCTATTTATGCTATATAGGTATCCCATACGGGTAAATCATCCAGGCGTACCACCCATACAGGTATACCAAACTAAATTAATCTATTATCACAAAAAATGTGATATTTTTTCATTCGATTCTGACTAAGTTGATTATATGAATAAAATAAAATATTGAAGTATGTAATTGAGTATTTTTTGAAGAAGAATGGAATTTTGAGTGCGAATCCATGACATTTCGTTTGAACACGAAAACTACTAATTCTGAAAAATTTTTTAGTAAATTTTTTGATATATTTTTCGAAAGATACTTTAGATACCATGACCGAAATCAATATTTGACCTGCCCTAAATTCAATTTGACGTAAAGCCAACTCAAAACTCTCCTGATGCTCATGTTTATCATTATCACGTCTTTCAATAGTGGTGACAATAGTGGTTCACAAATTGAATCCGGCTCATAAAGATAGCAGTCATTCATTATATATTATGACATACGCCACAATAAAATTTTCATAATATGATTACGATATTCTGTAAACATGTGTTAATCTAAGTGAATGTAATAATGAATCTCCTGTTTAGGTAATCTTCAGAATGAAATTTTCCGTTGAATGAAATTGGAGAATTTCCTTTCAACCAATGGAAGGTAGAGACATGGATTTGAAAATATCCTCAACATAGTATAATCAATATTATTCGATCCATTAATTCATGGTACTACGAGATCTGAACAATAGTCAAATTGACTCCAAAAACCTCGAGCGGTTTTTTCCCACCCAGATTTTGGGTCATCTGAGTTTGTATTTGTATGTGATATTCTGGTTAAGAAAATTGAAAGGAGAAAGAAAGTTTCGAAACGCATGATGGCTACTGATTTTCTTCAGGTTTCCAAAACATCAAAAAGGCAGTTTTCTACCAGAATTTAACTCTATCTGCGGTTTTGAATATATCTTTGTCTCTTGAGACTTTTATTCCTTTAACGTTTGTCTCGTTTGTAATTATATAAAATGTGTATGTAATTAAGACCTTAATTATTGTTATTGATTGTAAAATGCAATATAACAAGCTGAGGATTAACGTAATGTTTTTTTTAACGTACGATTCCTAGCATAGAGTTTATACAATCTGGAGGTTTTGATAAATATCAAAATTGAAGCTGTTGAGGAACTACGGAAAAGAGAAAGAGATTTCACTGACGTGACTACTATTCTCTACTACAATATTCAAGAAATCTATTGAAGAAACAAATCAACTAAATGAGTCTAAGTCATACTAGTCAGTTCTAGAATTTTACTCTTTGAAATTTTATCTTTGTGAAGTATAGTATTTGCTGAAAGCAATTATCATTGCCTCATAATTTTATTGATTGATTTCTCGATACAGCAAAGTAAATAGAGATTTATTCGATGGATCTTCACTGAAATTTTTCTTCACTAATCTTTGTTTAAACTTTTTCAGCAAACAGATAATAATTCCAAGCGTGTCAATCCTGTCACAAATAATATCTCAATGCAGAAATATTTCTTATCGATATATCACTGACGATAAATACTCATATGTTACTGAATGAGTCAATCAGAATAATACAAAAAATAACTTTTTTTCGGGAAAGTTGAATAACACTTTTTGTGATACTTTAACATTGGCTCATGAAGAAATATACTGTGATTTGAGTTATTGTTGAGTATTTGTCGAAATGAAAGTGAGAATTTGAAATATGTCAAGATGAAAATCAAGAACACTAAGAAAAACAAGAACATGACAAGTCCAGAAAATACTGTTTTTTTGGAGCCTACGGCTCCATATGGAAATTCGGGGAATTGCTAACATTGCAGGGATTCAATTTATTTGAAACACTTGTCATATTTGAATGCCTTTTGTTGAAAGTCAGAACAAGAAAGTAAAGTTTCCCCTTCACATTGATTGTTTTTATCTGATAATTTTTTAATCGTCTTGTCCCCCCCTTTTATTTTTTGAACGGGTCAACTCAAAAAATTGAAATTTGGGATAGTGAAATTATTGCATGAATACTTTATTTTGAAGTGGAATTGACAGATGAAACTTTCAAGATGGCGACTGGGCGCCATCTAGGAAAAAAAATTGAATAGAAAAGGGGGTCTTATCATACATCATTTTGAAGCTTCTAATGGATACTTCACAAACCTAGAATATGAAGTCGATATATGTACCTACTACAAAATGGCGGAACATTTACTAATTTCATGAAGACAAACACATTAATATCGATATTTTTAGAAATATTCCTTTTTATCTGCCATATGGCAATTCCAACAACCCGATAGGCTTTGTTGCGTTATTTTTTGTTTGTAAAATCGACAGAAGATGTCAGTACGACAATGAACATCGTTGTTCAGTTAGAATATTCTCATTTAGTTTTCGGTTTTACTGATCGAAGAACAGAATTCTGCGAAATCATGAAGGAAACCATTGCAAGGCATCCTATCTATCTCCACAATATTTGTTTAGGTGACGAATGCACATTCTGTTTAACGGCAATGTTCACAGACAAAATTGTCGTTATTGGAGTGACACCAACCCTCACATTTTCCGGGAAACACATACCAAATATCCAGAAAAAATTAACGTTTGGGCAGGATGGCAATTATTAAAAATTCCGCCATTTTGTAGTAGTTGAAGATATTGAAATAATATTCTAGGGTTATGAAGCATTTGTCAGGAGCTTCAAAAATATATGTCACAAGACCCTCCTTTCCTTTAATTTTTTCCTCAGATGGCCCCCAGTTGAGTTGACCCGTTCAAAAAATAAAAGGGGCGGACATTAAAAAGAAAAACACTATATATCTTTCAGCGACATTGGTAGACTTTCTGATACCGTATAGACGAGTATACTTGAATAAATACTTCTGGTTATTATTTTCTCTAATTAAAAGCATTTGCCACAATCTATTCTATATATACCTGATATTTTCGTTCTATCTCGTTTGGGTTTTGCATTAAATAGAGTTTCTGCCTTAAATACTGTATAAACTGCTCTGCAAACTGTAGAAATTTGGAAAGATTCCGTGAACACGCCTGTTTGGACAAAAAATCTACAATGTATTAACATCTCCAAGAATCATAACACAAGATAAGTTAAGATAACCTCAAAATCCTACATATATGTGATGAAAGGAAAAAGAAAAAAAATTATTTGAAAACCTTAAATATATATCCCTAAACGAGCAACTCGCTTTATATAGGTCTCCACTCTTGAATTTATAAGTCTAGCAACCCTATAATCTTCAGTGTTGAATTTTAAAGTTGGCACCCTGGTTCATTTAACTACCTGTCCTTCCATCTTACCTAAAAACTTCCGATATAACCGAGTTTTTAAATTTCACATTTTAGTTTATACTTGATACTGGAGTTAAACCCGAAACCGGTCGTATAAATAAAATTAACTAGTGGTAATTAGACAAATATGTTTTATTCGTTTCATTAAATTAATTGTATTTCGAAAATGCATTCGAAAATATGGAATTATTATGAATATATCTTCAGTTTCAAGTGGAGACATGTATAATGCTATTTTACCATTTTTGTCAATTGTGTACGTTTTTCAAACTTGTGTAATTTTTCAGAACAGGCTATGAGACTACAACATTTAAGGAAACTCCTCTCACTTCTACATATCTCATCGCTTTCATTGTATCCAAATTCACATGTACAGGAGGAATAAACATCGATACTGATGTACCATATCAGGTATGAAAGGCTTACATTAATATTTAACATTCAAACTACCGTATCGGGCTTGGCTTGACAGTGATTAATATTTTCTTGCAATTTTAATTATTCAAACTGCTCCAAAGTTATTATCACATAGTTGGCTCTTTCTTCAAAAAATATTGAAAACGATTTCTTTCTACAAAAATTATGTCCGACTCATATCTTTTCTCCGCCCAAAAGGAGAGGGGGTTCTATTTAAGTCCGCACTGTATGAATTGTATGATGTTATGAGATCCAACTCTACCAAAATGAAGAGTTTTCTCTCTAACAGAAAACCTAGAGAGTAATATATGATGTATTGATGTCTGGAAGGTATCAAGAAATCTATATTGATGTAGTATATTATCTACGACGGGAATTACTATCAGCAGTATCGTCTCTTATGACTGAGTTTGTTAGAAATATTTAAAAAGCAATATATCAAAAACTGAGCAAACTATGCCTTTTTGCTCAAACCAGTAATCTTTTTACTCTATAGTAGCCCCTGATTATTATTATGGCACATCAGCATCTTTAAAATAGTGCCCCTTCTACCAAACAGCTCCGATTTGATGATATTTAAAACATTTTTGTTCTTCACATTATTTGAAATCAAAACAATATTGTATAGTTCAACCACAATAGATTAGGTTATAACTATGGCACCAACGTTAAAATTGTTTTGAATGAATGAAATGATGATGGAACTGAGGCATCTGAGAAAAATCGTAGATGCAACCAAAAAGACATTTTTAGAAAAAGCCTGCGGGCTGGGTCATTTTGTTCAATTTTACGCAATTCTTTTTTCACTAACCCGATTATTCAGGATGTGTTGGAAAATAATTTTTGATTGTTGAATACACATTAATATCGATATTTTTAGAAATATTCCTTTTTATCTGCCATATGGCAATTCCAACAACCCGATAGGCTTTGTTGCGTTATTTTTTGTTTATAAAATCGACAGAAGATGTCAGTACGACAATGAACATCATTGTTCAGTTAGAATATTCTCATTTAGTTTTCGGTTTTACTAGTAGAAAGGTACCACGTCAACAATCTCTAAAATGTTCAATTCTCGTCCATTGGAAGAAAAAATTGAAGCGATTTTTATTTATGGTGCGACGCGCAACTTTCACGAGACCGAAAGGATTTTCAATGAACGTTTTCTAAATCGTCCTATCTGTAGAAAATATTTGAGGTAGTGTACATAACAAAAAGCCCCCAGGTCATCCGTCCATTCCGGAAGAACAGCAAGTGCAAATATTTGGTGAGATGGTAGTAAATCCTGAACAATCTACTTATTCCGTCGCGAATGTTTGTGAGGTGTCTTCTTCTACTGTGTGGAGGGAGACTTTTAAAGAGGAATAGGTATTATCCATACAAAATTAAAATGGTACACCAATTAACTGAACATGACTCTGATCGAAGAACAGAATTCTGCGAAATCATGAAGGAAACCATTGCAAGGTATCCTATCTATCTCCATAATATTTGTTTTAGTGACGAATGCACATTTTTTTAACGGCAATGTTCACAGACAAAATTGCCGTTATTGGAGTGACACCAACCGTCACATTTTCCGGAAAACACATACCCAATATCCAGAAAAAATTAACGTTTGGGCAGGAATATTGGGAAACCATATTGAAGCTGGAAACTACTGTTGACCCTCTCATCATTGAAATGGTCGAAGCGAATCCTTAAGAATTCTATATGGATATTGTATTCCAACAAGATGGAGCACCACCACATTATCCCAGACAAGTAAGAAACTATTTGGATACTACTTTTTCCGGTCATTGGATTGGCCGTCGAGGTCCTACAGAATGGCCAGCCCGCCCGCCAAATTTGACACCTTTGGATTTTTTTATGGGGCCATTTGAAGCAAAAGATGTACGACACTGAACTTGCTTCAATATTGGATATACGGCAGAGAATAATAAATATTTGTAGAGATATTGACGTAACTGTGTTCGAAAATGTCCGGCGTGAAATATCGGATAGGCTGTTCACATGTCAAGAAGTTCAAGGCAATCATTTCGAGCATCTTCTGAACCGACCTCAAGCTCATTACCTCATATTATGTAGTTAAATGTCAATGTATTCAGGCAATTATTAAAAATTCCGCCATTTTGTAGTAGTTGAAGATATTGAAATAATATTCTAGGGTTATGAAGCATTTGTCAGGAGCTTCAAAAATATGTGTCACAAGACCCTCCTTTCCTTTAATTTTTTTCTCAGATGGCACCCAGTCTCCATCTTGGATGTTTCATCTGTCAATTTTACTTCAAAATAAAGTATTCAGGAATTAATTTCATTATCCTAAATTTCAATTTTTTGAGTTGACCCGTTCAAAAAATAAAAGGGGGCTGACATTAAAAAGAAAAGCACTATATATCCTTCAGCGACATTGGAAGACTTCCTGATACCGTATAGATGNATTATTATGGCACATCAGCATCTTTAAAATAGTGCCCCTTCTACCAAACAGCTCCGATTTGATGATATTTAAAACATTTTTGTTCTTCACATTATTTGAAATCAAAACAATATTGTATAGTTCAACCACAATAGATTAGGTTATAACTATGGCACCAACGTTAAAATTGTTTTGAATGAATGAAATGATGATGGAACTGAGGCATCTGAGAAAAATCGTAGATGCAACCAAAAAGACATTTTTAGAAAAAGCCTGCGGGCTGGGTCATTTTGTTCAATTTTACGCAATTCTTTTTTCACTAACCCGATTATTCAGGATGTGTTGGAAAATAATTTTTGATTGTTGAACTCTTTAGAATACGTTATTTTGCTACATTCTCTGTCGGATGTGAAGAACCGAGTTGTATAGTATTTTCAGAGAAATACCAAATTGACCATTTGATCTCAAAACTACTGTCTTCATCATGAAACAGTCATTTTGACAGGTTTGAAAACACATTTTCTCATCAGGTGTCAAAACGGTCATAGAAATCACTATCTACAAGTAATTGTACAATTCTGTTTAAAATCTTTTTTTTCCGTTAATCAGCTGTCGACCCCATACGAACAACAACTCTCAGAAGTTGAGAAGATTGTGCAAGTTGAATACTAACGAGGTCTTACCTTTTAACGTGTGATTTCTAACATGTTCCATATCAATATCCATATCGACCTCTTTTTAGCAGAGCAAACTGATAAAACCATTTTCATTTTTCTGTTTCCTGAATATTTTGTTTCAGTTATATTCATAATCATGTATCTGGGATTACCCCCAGATGTTTCAGTTCTATCATTATTATATTTATCAAAACAACATACCGTTGGTGCCATGTTATTACATAAATATCTGATCTATTCTTGTTTCAATAATTTATATACTTTTTTTTAAAGCCGTGCAAACCTGAATTTTTCATATAAATATAATAGATGTTGTCCGAACAATATACAGTGTCGCACATAAAGTCCGCATCACATAAAGTCCGCAGCAACTTTTGATATCTCCATTAGGTTGTGCTTTAAAAATGATGCCAAATGACATGCATATGACCGATCAAGTGATTTTTCTTCCCTGTCCAATTTATGCTATTTTTATGCAAATTAATTCTTAATTAAGAGTACAAGCTCATCAAAATGAACCCCAGTTGATCATATTCGGCCTAACCAAAAAAAAAAAAGATTCAAGAACGGAAAGTCAATAGACAGATTGAAATGAATTCAATCTCCAGCGGTTCAAATCCAACGTGAATCGCTACTTTGGCACAGGCACCGCTCTTAAAGCGCCTCAAGGATTTTCCTGTAGCGCTTGTGTAGTTTTCGGGAGTTTTCGTAACAGGTTCATTCCTGGAAAAGTATATAGTATACTGTGAACAGTTGAATGTTCTACGCATTTCATGATGTTTAGTACATATTTGGTTCATATTCAGTACATACTTTGTAATTATTTTTTGAAGGTTTGAGTTGAAAAACAGCGCAAGTTGAACGCCTTCCACCGAGATACTCTTTATTTTTTCAATCCTGTAACTTGTTTAATCAAAGAACGAAGTCATTTATTACTATTATTATTCTTTGTCAGTTTCAATCATCGATTATTCTAGTATTCTATGAGAAATTTTCAAATGGTGGTTATTTCAGGTGCCGCTATTTTCAGAATGGTAGAAAATTTTATGGGAACAGATAACTTTTATAATGGTATTCGTAGTTATTTAAATACAAAGTGAGTAGGTCACAAGTTGCTTTTGTGCCAGAACTGAGTGAATCGTCTTCTTTTTGCTTTCTGCTCATGAACTCTCCTATTGAAACTATTATGTGTCCCTAAAATGTATGTCTATTGATGTATTTGAAAATCAAATAATCGATCACGAAACTCAAATTTTTATGGATTTATACAGGGCAAACAAATCGGCAGTTCCAGAAGACTTATGGTTGGCCTTACAACCTCACTATTTACAATTGAACGTATCAGAAATTATGACCAATTGGACCATTCATGCTGGCTTTCCTTTAGTGATGGTGACTTCAAGTGGAAATGATGTTGTTTTATCGCAGGTAATACTAACAAAAAAATATTCAAATTTGAAACATTTAATGACAATTTCACGTATTTGTTTTCATCAGTATTCACGAATCAATTCTTTGAAAGGAAACACAAAATACCAGCTCTCTTAAAAGGCTTTTAGGGTTTTGCGCAAGCCAATAAGAGATTGAGATTATAGAATGGAGACACAGCAATCAACAGAATGGTCTTCATAGATTCGTGGAAATCTTCAAATTTTTGAACGACATAGGTGTACCAACTATGATAGCTGAGGACTGCACTATAACATTAGCTTGATTCCGTCTCTTACCTTAAAGAAGATAGAAGTTAGTTATGCCATTTGGTTCAGTCAAAGATACAATGCCCGGTTCATTTGCCGTTTCTGTGTTTGAAAAATATTCTCTATCATTATTGAAATGTTATTGAAATCGACCAGTTTGTTTACATGAGCAGGGACAGACCTATACCTTCAAATTTGAAGAATGCAGTCCTTTGAAATACACTAATTTTCCAGAAACGATTCCTTTACTCTGGAGAGGATGATACCCAGTGGTATATACCTATATCTTATACAGTATCGAGTGATCCCAACAAATTTGAATCTGTTTCTCCAAAAATATGGCTGAAACCTGGAACTACAGAGACCATCCCCAATGTCCTAGAGACCAATTCGTGGATCATTTTGAATAACAAGGAAAGTGGTAAGTGAAACATTTTCGTGAGATTCAAAGACTGGAAGAGCAATGGTTTTTGTCTGAAACTACCATCACTAATATACTTTCTGAAACTATGAGTCTCACCTCAAATAACTCGTTTTTTCATGATGGCAAACCACTCTAACAGTGTATCATTATGGACATTTATATTCACTAGCAAGCCGCCACGACTCCGCATGGATACAATGCCTTTACTAANTTTTGGAAAAAAATGTCAAATTTGACAGGGAAGAAAAATCACTTGATAGGTCATATGCATGTCATTTGACATCATTTTTAAAGCATAACCTAATCAAAAGTTGTTTGAAGAGATGAACAAAAAAAATCCCATTTGATGCGGACTTTATGTGTGACACTGTATATAGTTTTGTACCTAATTCAAAATTTTTCTGATTTCAAATAATATGAAAAAACAACAAATATTTGAAAAAATTAACCAAAATCGGAACTGTTTCTGAAGGCTTCCAAGAAAAATTCTCTGTTGACTTGACTAATTATTCAAGGCTAAGCCTAGATATTTAACTTTTTGTTTCCAATTCAGGGAATGGACTACTAATATAGTTCTGGTGGGCTTGGTGATGTGTATCTGAACACATACCAGTTTTTCAAAATTGTTTCAAAATAACTTTCCGTAGGTTTGCTCCAGAAATGGATCCCTAAGCGACAGGGATCTTGCAGTAGAGTACGGCCCTCTTTTTATAGAAGCTTTGGAAAATATTACAGCCATCAAATATACCAATCATAATATAGGAAAGATGGATCTAGCTGCCATTCCAGATTTTGACGCTGGTGCGATGGAAAATTGGGGATTAGTGACATTCAGGTAGCAAAAATACTTGATAATTTATATTAAGATCAAGACAGTTCTCGAATTAGGTGGAATATTTTTAAAAAAGTTGAATATTATTTTCAATTCCTTTCAGCTACAGACATATTTTTTTTATTAGGAATGTTACGTTAACCCAAAATTAGTTTCTGTGCTTGTTTTGGATTTATTCTATGCCAAAGTTTCCAGTTTTACCCTTTCATTCATTCAAATGATCAAAGGTTTGCTTAGGTATTAATTTTCATTGAAACAACTTTTTCGAAAGAATTCCTTATCAAAGTTAAAAAAAATTATTGGAGCCTCCTTGGTGGTAGGTCCAGTTATAGCTGAGTTTCAGTATTATTTCAATATTGTACATAGAGCAATTTTTCGATCCAACCCCGTTTTCACAAAAGAAAACCATATAATTGGTTGTTATGGTGTTTAACGTGTCCTTCTTTTCACCTCGTCTCTGTCGTTTTCATCAGCACCATTCGTATATATTTAATTCATTTCCAAAACTGGACAAATTGTTACGGAAACTGAGCTCTGCTGTCTTGTAACTTTCCTAAACCTGCGAACCTGCGAAGGTAGTCCTACCATAAGGTAGGAAGATTTTTCACACATTCGATTTATACTTTGCGGTAGATGAATGATTATAAATACAACTCGTTTGTAGGGATTTTATGACATGTACAAGATGCCAAGGAAGATTTTTTTTTACGTAAAACGTAAAACGCATTTCTCAAACTTCGAATACGGTATTCTTTTATTCCATACTTTCATACTTTTATAAACTCCACAAAAATTGTGGAGATCAAATCGGGAGTTGTAGTTTATGAAATTACTATGGATCTTCATATGGATCAAGTAACGGCCGAATCAATCAGAAAATTATTCCCAACTGATATCGAATATTTGAAGTGGTGAAGATCTCTCTAATCATAGTAACTATTGAACTATTGTGTCTCAACAGATTATAATTTCTCCTTGAAGATTAGTATACCGTATTTCAGAACAACAGTATGTATCTTCCGATGATCTTCAAGAGATTGCTGCTACATGGTCTTTTTCTGCAATAGAAGTTTGTAGATCAAGACTGTTATAGGATGAGCATACGGGCAAGTTTCTATCAACATACATGATTGATGGTAGGGCAGTGAACTTGCAACCAAGGGGCCTGCTTAATCAAATCAATTACTGCTACATCAACTCCTCTATTTTGCAAGCCCTGATCGCATATCTACCACTCTATAACTTACTGAATAGCCTGAGCAAAAACATCTCTTTGAACTAATAGAGAATGAAATCTACCTTGGTTATAGTTGGAATGTGTCGTTTAGTGGAGTAGTTTGTTTACTTACTCTCTTACATTAGGATGAAAGACAGGAGAGGAAATAAAAATGCCAAGAATGACCAAGCAGTTATAATCAACACTGGCAATTTCATTCGGTCAAACGTGGATTTATAAAATGTTAACATGCGGGCCGACTAGATCGAGATTAGACAAAAAAATGCGAAGAAGTTTCTAGGTTTTCTTTTGAAAGTAAGTTAGCTCCAAAGTAAGTGGGTCTATTCGACCCTCCACCTCAACCCGCAAGGGTTTATTGTGGCTCACACCTATTCACACTCGACCAAATAAACCCAGCTCCTTAACCAAGCCTATTAGTTTGTATGGTGAATGGTCTTTCAGGTCAGATGGTTAGAGTACGGCTCGGCTGAACTCTAAAAACCTGATTCGGTCTGCAGCGGGGCAGGCACAAAGTATATGCTTTGCTGTTTCATCGTTAATGAGGTAGTCGGATAGTCAAGGTGCAAGATTCCCACCTTGATACCCGAGACAAACTGACGATGCCTTGCAGGACTTTTTCGCCTCTGGTTTTGGTGAATTATCACTTGATTTCGACAGTTGGTAGTACTGACATCATCTAGCACTCTTCAAACTGTGTTTCATCATTTTCTAAACAGAGGCGACACACGGTCTTTTCCGATAGTCCAAGTCTTTGTATAATAATGTGATGATTCAAATGACAGTGACCAGAAAGAAGGCCTGTTGGACATGGTAGTTTATTCCTGCTGTAGTCCAACAGCTGCTTTGTATCAAGCTTCGAAGGGTGACTAAACGCCTAGGAGTAAGCCAATCCTGAAGATTCTCCCAGAAGTCTATACATCTTCTTGCCATCCAGGTGTTCAATCTTTATTTGGCAAAGCGTAAATCGATGCCAATGACAGGTTCTGGTCCGATGAAGCTACTTGCAACACCCTCCTTTGCAAGGGAGTCAGCAGCCTCATTACCTCATAGGCCAAGACCAGAAACAATCTGTTGAGTCTTCCTATTGAGGAGAGTGGTTTTTAGCAATTTGCTATCAATTTAGACGTTGCTCGGTAGCAGCCAAGAGCTTCCAACGCTGCTTGACTGTCCGAGAATATTCCTATTGACTTGTGTATGATGTTGGAATCTTCCAGTCTCCCCGCACACAATTCAATAGCGTAAATTTTCGCTTGAAATACAGTCATGGGTCTGCGACTGAAAACACCTGCACCGGAACCGAAAGGTGTTTTTGATCCATCTGTGAACCAACAACTATCTGCTCTAAATATTTCCTTCTCCCAGAAGATCCAGTCCTCTCTACTCGGAAACATTACTTTATAAGGAAGATTGTAGATGAGACTTGGAGGCATGAAGTCAGAGGTCATTTCCAGAATGCTGTGACTTCCAGTGTCAACCAACAGTCTGTTGCACTCTGCATTAAATTGATTTGTGCAATTGACAATGTGCAGAAGTCTATATGCATTCCATATAGTCTCTGTCCAGGAGCAATTAATTTGTAGAGGAGGTAGACCTAGAAGGATCTCCATAGCCGCTGACGGTGTGGTACTGATGGCACCATTATTTGTGTAGTATAATTAGTATTTCCGAAAATTCATGTATGTTAAAAATAATGTTCGTGTGTTTGATTTCTGAACACAAAAATGTTTGTCCAGTTTATGCTACATGTGGAGAGGAGGTAGATCTAGAAGGTTCTCCATGACCGCTGACGGTGAGGAGCTGATGACACCGCTGATATTTAAATTATATATATTCTTGTATAATCGAAAAGTGAGCAATTTGTGGTCTGTTGAAGAGCAAAGGCAATGCACTCTCTAAACCACTGCCTACAGTGATGTTTCAGAGAGGGATTTTCGAACAGTTCATTTTGCAATCACTAATCTGATAACTTATTTTTCCAGCCTACTACAGAGTCAATTACGACTCCAGTTTGTGGAGCAGAATCGAGAGAGCCTTACGCACGGACCACACGCAAATTGACGTCCTCAACAGAGCCCAGATCGTAGACGACTCTCTAAATCTTGCTAGAGCCGGTATTCTCAAGTATTCGGAAGTATTAAAAATTCTGAACTATTTGAAAAACGAGACGGACTATTACCCCTGGAGCTCTGCTCTTGGCGGTTTGAACTTTTTGACGGTACGATTGGGAGAAGGGTCTGTTCTAGGAAAAAAAGTTGAATCGCTGATGTTGGATTTGATGGAGGGAGTGTACCGTTCTGTGTCTTTCACAGACTTGACAGAATATGATCAAATTTATACTCTTAAGCTTGTTCTGGTGTTGAGAAGAGCTTGCAAGTTGGCAAAAGCAGATTGTTTGAATACTGCCAAGGTTTTGTTCAAAGACTTCAAAGACGGAAAAAGGTAAGACAATTGACCGCTTCTAGGAGTTTTTGATGGGTTTTTATTATCGTATATTCAATTTATTTCAGAATACTCTGTACCATAATTTTAAAATTTGAGACATCGATCCTCGTTGACACTAACTGAAATATATATGTTTGGAATATGTTTAAAATATGTTTTCTTCGATAACCAACTGTCGCACCCCTACGAACGACAACTCTCAGAAGTCGAAATTTGTGCGAGCTGAGGACAAACGAAGACTTGCCTTTTAACGTGTGATTCCTAACACGGGTTGGATGATAGCAAGTTAAAATCAATCGTTCAGCCTGTGGGTTGAACCACCGACTCACACATCGGTCGATTGAGAGAGCGAACAAAGCACCCACGTTGAAGCGCTCAGTTACCAACCTCCCATACTAATTATATTTTGAGAAAGAAATGTTTTGGCTTTCTACTTGTCCATTTTCATACAAAAAGATGTGGAAATCTATCAAAGGAAGGAAAGAAGCAATTTCAAAAAAGTTACTCTATTCAAAAGCCCTTTCAAAATAATTATTTCCATATCAACATTGAATTACTCGAAAAAAAAATCGAAACAAATACTTTTATATGAACACTGAATTATACAAAAACAATTTTCTCTATTCAGTTTGTATTCCAAGCATTCATTATGGAGTTGAATCAGCTATCGTTCACAGGATTGCTACACAATATAGTGAATGAAAGAGGTAAAATTCCACTTACATGGAACACTGTCATCCTCACTCTGGAAATTTTCTAAAGAATTTCAGTTCAGTAACTGTATACAAAGTTGTGTAGATCATGCAAAGAAGTAACTTTCAGATACAAACTGGACAAAAACCCGTGAAACTGACTACTTTCTCTGGAGATTCCCAACTTTTTTGTAAAAAGATGGAAACGTAGAAAGCTAAAACCTTTATTTTCCAGAAATTAATCCCTCCTAAAAATATACCCCCTTCAATTTGAACTTATTATATCTAATGACAATATAGAGGTGACCAATATAGATAGATAGATAGATAGATAGATAGATAGATAGATCTTTATTTGCTCCGGTTACATATAATGTACATATATAAACTCCGATGAGTGTGGAACATGTCAGTAATAAATAACAACTGAATAACAAATCAAAGCTTCAGATACATAATCAATATTATCACACAAGTAGTTTTGAGACAAAAAAAATATATAAAATCAGGCATACATAAATAACATTCATATAGTTAGTATACTATCATTTAAGAATTCCTGCAAGCTATGTCACCTCATCAAAAGCAACTCACTGTCATATACAGGTATGACAAGTTTCAATATCTAAGAAAGGATTCCATCAGTTATTGGACTCTTCCATAGAAAAACAAATCACTCTGCAACTCTTAAATAAAATGACTGATGAATTGTCAATGTTTGAACCATTTGGGTTGTGGATTGAGGTTTCTTCTAAGGAAATTTATTGTCTACTTGTGAAGTAAGAGCGAAACTTCTTATTTTGTTTTTAAAAAATTTAACATTTGAATTCAATTTTCTTGATTTCAGCGTGGATAAAAACCGGAAATCCATAGTTTATTGCTATGGTCTACGATACAGTGAAGATGTCGAATCGGACTGGACATTTATGTGGGACAAGTACCAGAACACATCACTGTCCACTGAACAAGTGACGATTTTGTCCACTCTTGGGTGTACAAATAACACAAATCTTCTGAAAAAGTGAGTATAGAAGTAGGTTATGAATTTTGAAGGATACGGGGTAAAAGTGATCGCAGTCTTGTTTAGCAGTATGAAGAAATCCGATACTAATCGGGTATGTTTCAATTGCCTTCAATAACGCTCCGATTGTGGCATTGAGTTTTGTATAAGCTATGCAGAAATATACTAATTTTGTCATTGATCAAGTTATAATGAATATATTGTTGTGAATTATTCTCTGAAAAAAATAATGCCGTCCGCCGCTGCTCTTCATCAATAGATTGCGACCTGGCCAAAGTCGCGCTCGACTCTACTTGTGTTTCTTGATCAATCTAGGCGTCGCGTCACTTTGAGAATACTCCCAAGACTTCCATTGGCATATATAAGCACTAACAACAGGCAGATCCAACAGAAAAGTAGTTATTATGGATGTTTCGAGTTTCAATACAAAATATTAATTTTTTTAGATGCGATGTGGAAAGTTGCCCAGTAAATTTGGTTGATAATTTTACTCTTTTCAGAAAAATGATAAATGAATCACGAAGAAAATTTTAGAGCTACAGAGGCTTCAAAAAGTGGCTGATCAAAGACTGACTTAGTGGCGATTGGCAAAGAAAATATTTTTTTGATGATTTTACTTCATAGATTACAAAAGTTGAAGTTTGACTATGTTCTCAATATTATGTTATTATCCCTAACATCGATTTTTCATAATTCATTCAGGTATTTGGATCTTTCCATAAACGGTTCATCTGGAATTCGTACCCAAGAATTGCCAACTGTTTGGTCATCAGTATACTCTTCCAACCCAGAAGGCGTTGATGTAGCACTAGACTATCTGGTGGAAAATCATCAAAAAATCTACCAGTAGTAAGTGTTTTCTGTTCTACATTTTGCATTGAAATATTCTCAAAATGTTATTATTTCAGCTATCCAGAAGCAGCATCTTTGATTGCCAACGTCGCAGCCCGATTAAGTAGAGATGATCAAGTGAAAAAGGTACCGAAGTATTAGCAGTAACAGCACACATTTTTGTGTTGGAGAAGCTGAATTTTAGCGAAAGTATTTCCTAATAACCGTATTTTGGGATATGTTATGAATTTCAGTACGATACGAAATAACCTTTTTCATATACCAGAATAGCTCAAGAAGGTTATTGACGCAGACTATAAGTTAGGTTAAGTTAGGTTCAAAAGGAATGAATCTATTCGAACCTCCATTACAATTCCTCATAAGTTTATTGTGTCTCACAACTATTCAAACTTGGCCAAATGAGTACAGCCCCACGATGAAGTCTGTTACCTTATTGGTGAGTGATCTCTCAGGTTAGCAGAGTGAAACTGGATAAAACACTGATTCGGTCCGCAGCAAGAACAGCTCGAAAAGGTTTTTGATGCAGAGTATAGGTTAGGTCCAGAAGAAATGGATCTATTCGAACCTCCACTACCACCAATCAAAGGTTCATTGTTATTTATCTACTCAAACTTGGCCAAATGAGTGCCGCTTCTTGACGAAGCTTGTTACCTTACTGGTGAGTGATCTTTCAGGTCAGCAGAGTGAAACTGGATGAAACACTGATTTGGTCCGCAGCGAGAACAGCTCGAAAAGGTTTTTGATGCAGAGTATAGGTTAGGTCCAGAAGAAATGGATCTATTCGAACCTCCACTACCACCAATCAAAGGTTCATTGTTATTTATCTACTCAAACTTGGCCAAATGAGTGCCGCTTCTTGACGAAGCTTGTTACCTTACTGGTGAGTGATCTTTCAGGTCAGCAGAGTGAAACTGGATGAAACACTGATTTGGTCCGCAGCGAGAACAGCTCGAAAAGGTTTTTGATGCAGAGTATAGGTTAGGTCCTGAAGAAATAGATCTATTCGAACATCCACTACCACCAGTCAAAGGTTCATTGTATATTTATCTATTCAAACTTGGTCAAATGAGTACCGCTTCTTGACGAAGCTTGTTACCTTACTGGTGAGTGATCTCTCAGGTCAGCAGAGTGAAACTGTATAAAACACTGATTCGGTCCGCAGCGAGAACAGCTCGAAAAGGTTTTTGATACAGAGTATAGGTTAGGTCCAAAAGAAATGGATCTATTCGAACCTCCACTACCACCAGTCAAAGGTTCATTGTGTATTTATCTATTCAAACTTGGCCAAATGAGTACCGCTCCTTGTTGAAGCTTGTTACCTTATTGGTGAGTGATCCCTCAGGTCAGCAGAGTGAAACTGGATGAAACATTGATTCAGTCTGCAGCGAGAACAGCTCAAGAAGGTTTTTGAGGCAGAGTATAGTTTAGGTCCAAAAGAAAGGGATCTATTCGAACCTCCACTACAACCTGTCGAAGGTTTACTGTACATTTATCTATTCTTGGCCAAATGAGTAGAGCTTCTTGACGAAGCTTGTTATCTTATTGGTGAGTGATCTTTCAGGTCAGCAGAGTGGAGCTGAAGCAAACACCGAAAACCTGATTCTGACCGAAGAAGGGAAGGTGAGGTTGATATGGTGGCTTACACGACAGTGACATTTGAGTAGGCCTGTTAGACAACGCAGGTTATTCGTGGTGTAGTCTAACATTTGTTTAGTAAAATACTTCGAAGGTTGACTGAATTTCTTGAAAGAAACCATTTATGTAGTCCATATGTTCAATGTTTGTCTGGCAAAGCCTAAAGCGATGCCAATAATGGATTCTGGTCCTATGACCAGAGCAGCTTCATCGGACCCGAACCTGTCATTGGTATCGCTTTATGTTTTGCCAAACAAACATTAAACACCTGGATGGCAAAAAGACTTTATGGACTTCTGGCAGAATCTTCCAGGATTGGCTCACTCCAAGGCGTTTATTCACCCCTCGTAGCTTGATACCAATCAGTTAATGGACTACAGTAAGGATGAACTACGATGTCTAACAGGCCTTCTCACAGGTCACCATTTGAGCCATCATATGCAGAGACGTGGACTGTCGGATGACAGTCTGTGTCACCATTGTTTGGAAAATGATGAAACAGCAGAGTATATACTTTGTGCCTGCCCCACTGGGTACCGAATAATGTTTTTAAAATTCGGCAAAGCCGTGTCGCTATCTGACCTGAAAGACCACGTACCATACAAACTAATTGGCTTCGTTAAGAAGCTCGGTTTATTTGGCAGAGTGTGATGAGGTGTGAGCCACAATAAACCCTTGCGGGTTGCAGTGGAGGGTCGAATAGACACACTCACTTTAGACCTAACCCAACCTAACCTATGACCAGACTGGAGACAATTAGTTGAATTTTTTCATCGACGGGTTGATCCCACCGATCAACGTCTTAGTTACTCGAAGGGTGCCAAGAACTTCCAAAGTCGTTGGGTAATCCGATACATGTGGGAGGTTGGTTTCTGCCAGTCTCCCTACAAATTAGTAGCGTTGATTTCCGCTTCAAATATGGGCACATAGGTTCCTAGACAGATTAACGCAAATTATATCCATGAATCAGATTCAAGAGTTGGTGAAAATATATATATATTAGTGAAGAACTATGCATTGAAAAACATGGTGGAATTTTTTAATTGGGAATTTACATGCTTGTTTATGATGTCTATTGAGTTAAACATGCTAATGGAGGAATTTATAGCGTAGGTTTCTTTTCATGGATTTATAGACAGCGATCGATATCATTGACTTCAAATTGCAATTGTAATGAATAAAATGACTTGATAGGTAGAATTGAAACCTCTCCGAGTTTTAGTCATCTCCTGTTGATGCTAGCTTGGTTAGCGAAATGCGCGTCGAAAGACAGTATTTTTGTTCTGGCGTGAAAAATGTGTTTTCAGTGGATGAGTAATTTGAGATAGATAATGGAATTTTTCAACAAATAGTTGAAAAGAAGAAACATTCGATATGAAATTGAATCAGATATCATTAACATGATTACTTCACAATATAGTATATAAATTGCGTTCTGCAAAATTTAGTATTTTTCAGTGAAGTGGTATGATTTGGTAACGCCAATCCCAAATTTCTACAATATAATATGAATAGACGTTAACATTACTTGCTCTATCTGAAATTGGTAATAACATACTAATATTTGAGTATGCTATTTGTGAGTCTTTTTTGAGATTTTCACTCAACAGTTTTACGAAAACACAACATGTGTTTCGCCATACAATGGCTTTTTCGGGCGTGTCTTTACTCCCGGAGAAGCCATTGAATGGCGAAACACGTGTTGCGTTTTTGTTAAACTGTTTAGTGAAAATCTCACTAAGACCACAATGAATAGGCATTTTCTGTTGTTCAACAACAGGAGCGGAATTGTGATATACAATTGCACTTAAATAATTAATTCTTATTACTCTTTGAGAAAATGTGTTGTCTTGATTTCCTCTTGTAAGAAGTAAGGTCTTTGCAAAAAAAATAGAATTCAGGAAATCCATGTTAGCTGCTACTTAGACTATTACTCGGTTTCTAGGTCTGAATACATATTATTGCTTGAGTTTTTGGCTCGTGAAATCCAATCAATTCATATTGCTTTTTCAGCTTGAATCATTTGTTGCTCTGGAAACCTTGCATCCATCAATGAAATCTGCAGCAACTTCTGCTATCGACTCAGTGAAGGCTAATATTAAATGGACTTCGAACATCAAAAGTGACTTGGAACAATATTTTAACGAAGATAATAATAATTCCACCACTTCTACGGCTCCCGTCACTCCTGTAACTCCTGCAGGGGCGGCCAATATTTCACTATCAGTTTCACTGATGGCTATAATAGTTATTATGATTTTTGATATATGTTTCCCTTAGAACATTTTATTTTATGATATGTAGTTTTTTCTAACTTCACAAATGAATTATATTTGTTATGAAATACTGTTTGAAAATATATTATTTCCCTAACAACCAACAGCCATAAACAATTTTTATTTCATAAACTACACCTCAACGGACGAATCAATAAAAAAAACAATTTTTCTGCTTGAAAAGAAAAATATCCAAATCTTTATGCGTTGAACTACATTTTATGTCTACGAAAAATAAACCTATTGGATTTCTCAGATATTTACAAATTTATTGAGGACCGGTCACAACGAAATCATTGTAAGTACGCCAGTGAGATACTTGAATGTCTCGCTATTTTTATTCAAAAGCTGATAAAGCCCTGGTACTCTAAGAAGAAGAATCTAGCATTGTGGGAACTAGATTTGACACACATAAAATTCATACATCCATCGTGATACTTATATACACTTAAAACTACAATTAAAATCTTTTTCAATTCATCAGGAATAGTCCCATAATGAGTGGGGGAATAATATTAATTTCAGATTTTTATCCTGTGTACAAACACTTATTGTACCCCACCCGAAAAAGTAATATTCTCCGCTACTGCGCGTGTGAGAAAATATAAACATATTCATCATGTGCCAACTACAAAGTCTATCAATGTAATATCATCAATTATTACTTATTTATCTCTGTTTTTCGTTATGTTACTTTAATTAGATGTATTAGAAAGCAGTAGTCTGTAAACACTGTGAAGAAAATAACTGAATAAGTTCAATAGGTGAGTCTTGTTCATGTGAATCAAAGCTATATACCTAGCTCATTCTAGATTCTGCTGGTCTCGTCAATATTTTAATCTTTCTGGGTGATAAGTACATTTTATATTTGGAAGATAGTAATAATGTAATGTAGGTAACCATTGTTACCTACGGCTGTGCCAGGAATCACACGTTAAAAGGTAAGACCTCGTTAGTCCTTAGCTCGCACAAGTTTCTCAACTTCTGAGAGTTGTCGTTCGTATGGGGGCGGCAGCTGATTAACGGAAAAACAGATTTTAAACAGATTGTTGCTCGTCATTTTCTGACCAATGTCTATTCTACCAGCTTGTTGAAGTGTGTATTCTGTTTAAGATCAATCTGGATGTGGTCCAATTTCTTATTTAACGCACGATCAGTTAAAATTCCAATTCCACAGACGGCTCAAAAACCAAAGATGGCTCAGGATGTGGAGTGTACTCCAGATCACTAAGCCTAAGGATTTAGTGGGGAATGGGAAAAAAAACCAGCGTGGTTAAAACAGAACTGGCTGGTATATCAATCGCTACAAAAGAAATAACCTGGAAAGGAATTTCTGGCAAAAATATAACAATCTGCACTGATAGCAGACAAGCTCTATTAGCCTTGAACAGACAACATGTTACCTCAGGGTAATAACATTATCCTGAGGTGGATTAAAGGGCACGACAGGAGTAAAGGTAATCGCATTGCCGATTCTTTAGCCAAGGAAGCGGCTAGACTAAGAATTTTAGGACCCAGTGGCAGCTACGGCCTAATGACTTCGACGATTGTGGAGCTAATCAAACGTTACACCAATGCTCAATCCCAAAAGAGATGGGATGAAATCAAAGGATGCAATCTTGCCAGGATCACCCTGGGCGACCTTGGGAAGCTGGCACCGAAGAAATATTTGGCGATGACTAGGGAAAATCTACGCAGAAGGATTTCTGACTGGCCACTGTCAACTAAGGAAACACCTCCATAATATGGGGTTAGTGGACATACCTCTATGCAGGATGTGTGAACAGGAAGATGAAACTTTCAGGCATGTCCTATGCGAGTGTCCGGAGTTATCGTCAATAAGAAAGTGTGTGTTAAGCGAGTCTTGGTCTAGACCAGCCGATATAAAGGAGATGTCTCCTAGTGACCTGTCCACCTTTCTGGAAAGGACAGGATAGGCGATGACCTAGAAGGACAGCTACTTGGAAGGATGTACAATGGGTTACATGTGGCCTAAGTGCTGTGGGCCTACACTCACCCTCCCTACTCTACAGATACAGAGATACAACTTTTCATCGGTTCCTTTCACTATCACGTCTATAAACAACATTATCTACTTTAAATTTCAAATGGAAAAGCATATTTTCAGGCATATCGAGATCCGAACACCTCACATTCACTAAGAAATATTGTTAATCACATTTAAAAATATTATCTATAACACTAGGGCTGGGAAAACAAAAGTACATAAACAGTGCGAGTCTTTAACATGGAACAAATTCACTTAATCAAAGGTGTTGTTTCTTTCGGAAATATGCTCAGACACGTCGATTAGTATTTTAAAGTGCCCTTATTTTCATGCAAAAAAATATACAGTGTGTCTCAAATATGAGATATGACTTCATCGATAATTTTTTTGACTAACAATCCTGTTTTTTAATCACTTTTATTGAAGGATTCAACAAGTTTCACATGCCTGCCAAATTTGAATTTTTTACTCCTTATCTTTTAAAAGATATTTAACAAACATTATCTAATTCAAAAAATGAATTCAATTCAATAGTCTCCCTTCAATAAATGCTCAAAATGTCAGGGATACCTGACAGTGACATTGTCATAAAAAAGTTATCAAAAAAAGTAAGGAGAGTAGTATCGCATTCTAATCATATTTGTGCACAAAAACTGTTAGTCGTTTCACAGTTTTTTGTTCGCCATTAGTAAAATGCCGTACTTAACTGAAACACATAAGATTGAAATTCTAATGATGAGATAGGACAAATAATAGGAGATAGGACAAAAACACAAAATGAAGTTGCCCAGTTATTCAGAGAGAAGTATCCTGATTTACCACCCATATCGAGAAGTACCGTAAGCAAGATCAAAAAACAATTCCGGGAAAATGGGCATTTAAGAAAAACAAATAATCATCGTCGGAGTGCTCTCAGTGAAGAGGTCAAAATAAATTTTTTTCTCTCTGTCGAAGAAAATCCCCATGTCCCCACTAGGCAGATAGCTAGGGAACTCAAAATTAGCCAGTCTTCAGTGGCAAGAGTTTTTAAAGCTGAAAAATTTCATCTATATAAAATAACAATCCTCCAGGAACTCACCGAAGATGATCCGTTTATGTTGAATGGTGTGGTAAATCGTCAAAATTGTCGTTATTGGGCAGACAGAAACCCACACTGGATGAGCGAAGGCCACACTCAACATCCAGAAAAAGTAAATGTTTGGGCAGGGATTGTTGGTGATCGAGTTATAGGACCGATTTTCTTCCAAGAAAATCTTACTGGAGCAAGATATTTAGAATTCTTGCAGGAGAACCTAGTTCCGAATTTGGCTATTTTGTTCCCTTGTCCTATAGAAGCTGACGTCCCGAATAGAAACATCAGGTTTCAACAGGACGGCGCACCCCCTCATTTTGCAAGACCTGTCCATGAGTACCTGAATGATGTATTTCCAGGCAGATGGATTGGCAGAAGAGGACCCTATGAATGACCACTTAGGTCTCCGGATTTAACACGTTTGGACTTTTTTGAGGGGTTACTTGAAGAGCCAAATTTTTAAGACCAAACCGGCAAATATTGAGGATTTAAAAGAACGAATGAGACAGGAGTGTAGGTTAATTTCCGGCGAAGTAATCAGAAATGTTCAAAACGAGTTTCAGTTACGTTTAGGGTATAGTCAGTTAGTAAATGGACAACATTTTGAACACTTGCTTAAGAAAGACTATTGAATTGAATTCATTTTTTGAATCAGATAATGTTTGTTAAATACCTTTTAGATGACAAGGAGTAAAAAATTGAAATTTGGCAGGCATGTGCAACTTTTCGAACGCTTTAATAAAAGTAATTGAAAAACAGGGTTGTCATTTAAAAAAATTATCGATGACGTCATATCTCATATTTGAGACACACTGTATAATTATTTTTGCATTAAAATAAAGGAAATTTAAAATAATAATCGACCTGTCCGATCATATTTCCGAAAGAAACAGCACCTTTGATTTAGTGAATTTGTTCCATGTTAGAGACTTGCACTGTATGTATAGCTGAAGTAGATCAGCATAACATAACATATCATAAGAAATCATTTACGCCAAAATAAATGAAACTCATTTTTCCCAGAGTAATCGAAATTAGTGCGTTCAAACGAATGTTATTATAATTGATTAAGAATAATTCAGTTGTACACATTATGTAACAGTATATGAGAAAAAATAAAAAATATTTGTTGGAAGAATATATCAATGAAAACTTTCCAGATGAAAAATGCTGCCACTGGGTCTAGTGATAGTGTATCTCACAAAAATCTTGGCATCTCCATTGGTCAATATTTCAGTAGACGAAACAACAGTAAACGATGGAGGTTATCGCTTACCAACAACTCAAATCCCATCGAGATATGAAATAAATATGACCTTTTCTGCTGCTGTTTTTGACGGACATGAAAAATCTTTCGAAGGCATCGTCCAAATCACGTTTCAAGTGACAGAGAAAAGGGATAGCATACAAATACATGCTCCAGTGAAAATTATTTCAATGAAACTGGATAATATAGCACATGCTATAGGAGATGCATCTTTGAACACCACAACAGAAATTTTGACTATACCGTTGAAGATGATGTTACAACCTCAAACAAATTATGTTATTACCATAAAATACAGAGGCCAGTTAGGTATGAGAGTTTTTGAAGGAATATACAGAAGCAGCTACAAAAATGCTAATGGCATACCTGAATACCTGGTTACCACACAGTTTCAGGCAACCTACGCAAGAAAGGCTTTCCCATGTTTTGATGAACCCAAGTTCAAAGCTAGATTCGTCATCAGTATTACCTATCCTAGAGGATTTAATGCTTTGAGTAATGCTCCACAAGTTGGGCCACCGTTAGTTGATAGAGAGTGAGTATGATTATCATCTATTACAATGACTAATTTATTTGTTCATTATTTTTCGTAGTAATTTAGTTAGTCATTGTTCAACTGAACTATTAGTGAAAGTAGTTATGGGATCCATTTCATTCCGCTCAAAGTTTTGCTAGCTGATGGAAAATATCAACCAAGATCAGTAGAATACAAGTAACTATTAAAAATGGAATCTGGAAACATTCATCAATCCCAATTCACGTATTGCTGGCGGAAAACAACTACTCCTACGAAATCTGCTAGAGTATTGGTATATGTGTTACTTCCCTGCTTGGGATTTTGTTTACAAGATGGAGTTTTTACTAGTCGGATCTTTTCTGTACTGATGAGATTTAATGATTCGATGGATATCAGTATTGTCCTACTACTGAATGAACAAGAAATGCCAGCAAAACTAACCTCTGTGAGGTATCTTGCATCAATGTTTTCGGATATAATTCAATGTCTATCGTGGTATTAACCGTGGTTTTATCCAGCAGAACCTACTGCGTAGGTACGTTGAGAAGGATTGATATTTATTTTTTCATACAAACGAAACCTATATACGGAATATTGCATTGTCACGTTTTTCCCCGTGGGTTCACCAATGATTGACTACACTGAATGATCATACTTAACTTTATTCCACTTTAAATACTACAAACACTTCAACTAAAAACTTAACTATTATTTGAATGTCTATCACCTTACCAGATCACTTCGCGTACCGCATTGTAGCTTCCACTTGTCTGTGTTGATATGCTCGCAGCAAGCGTTTAAATATAGTAATCGAATGCCATAGAAATTTCGCCGAAGTTCTGTCAAAGTTGGTAGCATTATTCTCGCTGCTTCTCGAGTGGCGTGGAACCATCGTACATTCGCGCGCTCTTAGGCAGGCTACGTTACCAATGGTTTATGGCTACCAGTAGCGGCCGGCGTTATTTTCTTTCGGGCATGATTTACAAGAGTATCATTACTCTGCAGATATTTTCCCTGTCAGTTTTGTTTTGGAAAAAAGGTTTTTGAGGCGAACAAATGATTCAACAATTCCTTTCATATATTTTTTTCAGTGCCGTCTATGAAACAGCAACCTTCAAAGAAACTCCCATTATGTCCACGTATCTGATTGCCTTTATTGTATCCAAATTCACATGCACTGCAGCAAATACAGATATTGATATGCCATATCAGGTAGGTCTTTTCAAAATAAATGATTTATTATCCATGATAATAATTTTAGAATATTCACAATAAATTTCATCTAAAATGCATTTCTCTGTCGTGTACTGGATCAGAGTGTTCAGAAATTATTTATATATGAATAATTTCAAAGTGAAATACAATAAAAAGAGTATTAAGTAGACGTCTTCAGCAAATAAACTGTAGCAATACCCTATCTTCGCCATCTACATCTAGTATGGTGAACTTGTCTTCATTTGTATCATAATACTGTTCTTTCTTCACTTCATATTATGAGTGCTTGAGTGCTTGTTTGAATACTTGGGCTGAAAAGATTCGGTCGTAACACATAGATGGCGCTTTTTCAGTAAGTAACAACCTTCAAAAGAAAGCTGATGAAATTTCATTTTATTCTTCTCATAAGTTTGTTGATTATTGTCAGACCTGACCTGACCAAAATAATTTTTTTATGGGGCTATATCAAATGGATTTTCTATCAAACTCATCCAACATCTATAGAAGACGTGAAACAAAGAATAACTAGAGCTTTCAGGGAAATCCTAGAGGACATGCTGGAACGTATAGGGAATTCGTTTAAAAAATACTGACATTATGTGTTGCAGAATATAGTCGCCATTTTGAACATCTGTTGAACTCCTCTATTCAATAAAAATGTAGTGAAATGTTGAAAGATTTCATACAAATGAAAAAATACAGGGTGTTCCACTTGAAAAAGTTGAATTATGTCTGTTTGAAAATAAATGAAACTTGACCGTTTTTCCCGAGGAACCTATATATTATTTCCGAAAGATGAGATTCCAGAAATCATCATAGTGATGTTGTTCAACTATTCCTGATAAAAATCTACTCAATTGCTGTAGATATGCGGGTGCAAGATTAAAAAATATTTTTTGCAAAATAGGTTCTCCTGGAATAACTTGGCAATCTCGCAAAGAAATTTGAAAAGAAAAATTCCTTAGAGAGCTTAAGAAATATGGAATCGAATGATGCATTCATATACTGGGTGTTCTATTTAGAAAAATACACCTTTTGTTGGCCACGCTAGGTTGAATCACCCAGTATACGAGGAAATAATTTTAAATTATAGTATTTATCGATATGACTGTGGAAAAATTTGAGCAGTTCAAAAAATTGTTTCCTCTGATAGCAATGGACCGCGGGAACCTTAGTCAAATCATAGTCAAATGATCATTCATTTGACTATGACCGCGAGAGCTCACTGTTTGGCCATGTTTAAACATAACAAACCGGAATTATTGCGTCGGTATGTAACAATGGATGAAACATGGATCCATCACTTCACTCCGAAATCAAATCGATCGTCATCTGAGTGGAGAGCACCTAGTGCAACTCCTCTAAAGCACCAGAAAGGACAACAATCGTCTGGAAAAGTTATGGCCTTGGTATTTTTTGATGTGGGTGGTGTAATATTCATCGACTAATATGTCATAATGACATACTGTCAGTATGGCAGGTCTACGTCACAGAGAATTCTGTAGAAATACCTTTAATGAACTGCACTCTTAACATGGCCTTCACTGTATATCTTCATCATAACAATGAATATCAAGAAACATGAATCAAGCTACATTAAAAGTAACATGATACATAAATATCACACTCGGAATGATAATGAACTGCGGTTACCCTACTCTCGACTGGCTTTTGTTCAGGGATCCTCAGGTTATCAGGTTATCATCTGCTATAATAGAGCACTTCAGCTATTTGGGAAGATATGTAGTTTCACTGAATTCCAAAGTGCTTTACTTGACTACCTTACAAAAAATGCATTTTATTCTACTGAAGAATTTTTACAACTCTAAGTAATATTGTATAATTACTTTATTTTACTTGTACAAATATATAGATTTTACAATTTTGACTAATTTAAGCTAATCGTTGTTCTTGCATCTTTTTCATATGTCCTCTTAACGGCTAACATGTATATATACACTGCAACTATAGATAAGCGCAGTTGCTTTATGCACTGTTCTGACAAGTCTGATAAAGTTTTATATCTCAGACCTCAAAAAAATGCTCACCGGTAAGAAATTTTCCTCGAATGAAGGGGTTATTGCTGAAACTGAGTCCTATTTTGAGGCAAATGATAAATCGTTCTACAAAGTTTGTATTGAAATGTCAGAGTGGCGCTGGAATGATTGTGTGGGTCTTGATGGAGATTACATTGATGAACAAAATAAAACGCGTTTTTTTTCTCAGGCGCAGGACTTTCCATCCCATGTGTTATATAAAAGATAAGTCCTTGAAAAGAACTCATGTAAGTCATTTCGCTGTCTTGTATCAATAGTGTGGATTTGCTTCAAAAGAATATATACATTACAAAATACAAAAACACACACTTCAAATATGAACAACCACGGGGAGGTTGAATTTCGATAAGTTTGGAAGAATTATCTAAAACTAGAGGTACGAGAGATACCAGCGATACAACGAATCAATTTTTTATGCAATACGGCCACATCATTGAAACAAGTGAATGACCACCAAAAACATATCAAAATTGATCTTATGTTTCTGAATAAATAGTCAGCAGAGTTGAGTTTAGAAATAACTGACTAATAGTGTCTCCTCCAGTCAAGACACTCATCGACGTCCAGACTCAGAAACCTTTCACATTATACATTTTCCAAAACTTTATCGTTACATTTATATGAATGGTAGGTATTTGTTTTTGATTTTTATGGAAATGTATTAACCTAGTTTTTTATTCATTTAGACGTAATTAATTCATGCAGAACCTCGCATAGAGGTTAGAAACTTCGCTACATCTTTCGTCCAGCCTGGTTTCTATTCGTAGTCATTCCGTGAGACAGTAAACAACATGCTTTGAAATGGGACCTTTGTCTGAAAGCTTGTTGTCATGTATCAGTCTCAAAAATTTGAAGCATGTTTTATTATTGTGATGATAATAATAAATAATTTATATCTGTTGAATTCTTTTAATAGTATTTTTGTAGGTTTGCTCAAGAAATGAATTAGCGAGTTTGAGGACGTTTGCTCTCGAATATGGTCCTAAATTTTTGAAAGTTCTCGAAAATGTAACAGCCTACAAATTCAATGATCATCATATAGGAAAAATCGACCATATTGGAATTCCAGATTTTGAATCAGAAGGAATGGAGAATTATGGAGTGGTGACATATGAGTAAGTAGTGAAATGAAAATATGTTTGAGACAGTCTTGAAAAAAAAACTGAATTTTTAAGGCAATACTTTCAACATTGAACTTCATTTATTTTTTCAGTTGCAGTTGATATTACAGCTCCTGGCAATAAAATATAACAACTGACATGTGGTAAAACTCTGAGACGCAACAAAAAATACTCTAAATAATGGTATAGGTGATACTTCAAAGTTGCTAAAATTTGTTTTATCGACAACCAGGTGTCCAGGTAATAGTCCGCTATCCTTGGAAATTCATCATATTGGATTTAGGGTGACATCGTTTCAGTTTGTGTATTTGTTCAGCAAACCCTTCTATTTCAAACCCAAATGATAATGTTGCATAAAAATCGAGTACATGCATTACTTAGACTGGGAATTGAAAAATACCTACAATGTTGAATACTTCAGATCGATCGCTTCGCAGTAAATAAGTTGATATTCAGCAAGTGTGACCTATTTTCATTGTGCCTTGCATTTTGGGAAAAATGGCATTCGATTACTCTTGTTCTCCGCTGCAGATGCGTATCCCATTCGTCCTGTCAGATTCATTTCACTTTCGTGTATACTATTGTCCATAATCAACTGAGCCGTCTGATACGTTTGCATCTGCTGCTTCTTGAGCATCCCATCTGGTGGCCTTCGAGCAGCTTCATCGATTGCTGCAATGCCCTGGATTCCGATGTGACCAGATACCAAAGACGTGCTGCTCTATACTACACAGCCCGTTGATGAGGACTATGATTTGTTGTACCAGCCAAAATGTATTGGTGTATTTGATCGAACTCAATAAGTCTGAGCAAATGACGAATATACCACGAATTGCTATTGGCTTGTCTTTCCAATCGATTTATACAGTCCGATTTATACTACTCATACGATGAAAAACGTTCAAAACTTTTCTGACTCTTGTAGCAGATATTTGTATTTGTGGTATCCAATATCAATTCTCTGACGAAGTATTCAATAAGGCCATTAGAATGTAGAAGGTTGAGATCAGGCAAAGATGTCAGTGATTTGTTATTGGCAAATGAGAAATAAAGTAACATTCGAAGTTGATCTCTGATTTATACCTAAACAAAATTTCTATGAAAAGTAGTAGTTTTTGTGTTATTCTCTAGTTATCAAAATTTTTCCTTGGTTTGGATAATAAGTAAATTCCTCGCACCAGGCCATTCAGGTTAGGTTAGATCCAAAGTGAGTGGATCTATTCGACCCTACATCACAACACGCATAGGTTTATTATGGTTCACACCTATTCACACTCAACCAAACGAACCCAGCTTCTTAACGAAGCCGATTAGTTTGTATGGTGAGTGGTCTTTTAGATCAGATGGTGAGAGTACGGTTTTGCCAAACTCTAAAAACTCTAAAAACCTGATTCGGTCCCCAGCGGGGCAGGCACAAAATGTGTTCTGCGGTTCCATCATTTTCCAAATAGAGGCGACACACACTGTCTACCGATAGTCCAAGTCTCTGCATTCGATGACTCAAATGACAATGACTTGTAAGAAGGCCTGTTATACATCCTAGTTCATCCCTACTGTTATCCAACAACTGTTTGGTATCAAGCTGCGAAGGGTAAATAAACGCCTTGGAGTGAGCCAATTTTGGAAGATTCTGCCAGAAACTAATCCTGGAAGGTTCTGAAATCTTTTTGCCATCCAGGTGTTCAATCTTTTTTTGACAAAGCCTAAAGCGATGGAAATGATAGGTTCTGGTCCAATGAAGCCTCTCCTTTGCAAGGAAATCAGCAGCCTCATTGCCTTCCAGGCCAGTGTGGCTAGGAATCCAGATCAGAGACAATCTGTAAGTCTTCCTATCGAGGAGAGTAGTTTTTTGCAATTTGCTATCAATTTAGACGTTGCTTGGTAGGAGCCAAGAGCTTCCAACACTACTTGACTAGAATATTTTTATTGACTTGTGTGTGAGGTTAGATTCTTCCAATCTCTCCGCACACAATTCAATAGCGTGAATTTTGACTTGAAATACAGCCGCATAGGTTCCTAGGCAGGTTGATATCTCTGTCCTGAGTCTGCGACTGAAAACACCTGCATCAGAACCGGAAGGTTCTACCACCTATCTACCACCAGGCCATTTAATGGAATATAATATCAGCGATTATTGAAATCATTCATTGAAATATTCCATCCTCGCTGCATCTTACTTTGCTTCATTTTAGGGAAGGCATATTGCTTCATGATCAAAACCAACCTTCACTTGAGAGAACGGACATCACTCTTTCAATAATAGCTCACGAAACAGCACACATGTGGTTTGGCAACTTGGTTACATGTGAGTGGTGGGACTACTTATTCCTCAACGAAGGCTTGGCGAACCTGACGGAGGCAGTCATAGACTGACCTCCGTCAGGTAAGTAAGCAACACAGATGTGTGGCTTCGGAAGTTGGTTCCCTGTGACGCATTTCAGGGAAGCACCCTCCCACAGGTTAGCGCCAGTCGGCGCTAACCTGATCCTCACAGACAACCTGTAACCATCCAGGCCGAAAGACGCAGTTCTGCGTCTTCGCAGCCGACAAAATAGCCCCCTGAAGAATTCCCACCTTGATGCCCGCGACAACCTTCCCATATGAGGGTTTTTGCAGATCAGGTACACCTGACGATGCCTTAGATTCAACCGTGTAGGGCTTTTTCGCCTCTGGTTTCGGTGAATCATCATTTGAGCGGAAACGTTTGCTAACCTGCTCAAGGGGGTTTGTTCCCCCACCTGAGACAGGGTCTGCGTACGCCGCTCAAGAATTTGGTGCAAGGCGGTTTCATAAGGTACTCCGCTCTTGAGGAGATGACTAAGTCGTTTCCTGGCTTCACCACTGAACCTTTTCCCAGGTTCAGTTTTTGAATCAGGGTTTGGAGAGTTGAGAAGCTCTGGCTCCTGATCTAAACTTACAGGGAGGTCAGCTGGAGTCGTAAGCTTGACATTCATCTGCTCTGTAGACTCAGCCTCAGAAAAAATGTTCGAATTCACTCTGTCCATAAAAGTCCCACGAGTAGCTAGGCAAAGAAGGTCAATCACGGCAGAGCCCCGAATTACCGTGACAAGGCGATGCTACGACGAGAGGGCGCCTGGTATCTCGAAGGTTCCGTTAGAGACAGCTGATATTCTCAGTGTCATTCATCTTCTTGGCACGGATACACACACCTTAGGATTAAGCCATCGTTGGGATGCCATTCAGTCAGGGAATAACAAAACCACACGTGATTCTGTCATTCCCGTATCCAGCGGGGCTACGTGGAAGCAGGCATCCGATGGCCGGTTTGCTCAAACTCCAAAGCAACGCCAAAGCACTTGCCGAAAACAGCATGCCCAGTGGTTCAGGCAGTGAAAGGTGAACAAGACCAGTTTGAATAGTAAGTGAATGGCGGGAATCTAAAGATGTAGAGTGATAGGGTTGTTTATAAACAACAGTTTCAATGTGCGGAATGAATTAATATTGATTCCTTTTTGTTAGTTGGCTGGATGGATGTAGGGGCCCTTTTAATGTTCACGCCTTTTCAGAGAGGGGGTTATTTTGCAATGGTTATTTTTTCATTCGTCTTCACAATGTTTTTCTCAGTCTAAGTTAGTACCTAACCTACATGTAGATGAGTTAATGATTAGTTTTGAAAAAATTTCAATAAAGTAATGAAGCTTTCAATTCTAGGTTAATAGGGTTACCGAGTTTTCTATTGGTCCTTGGGCATTATGATTCATGGCCCTGATGATATGGTGTGATAATTGTCCTTATTCGTGTTCACAGTAGCAGATGGTCGGTTTTCGGCAGTGTTGTGGCTTATTTAGGCCCGGGGTGGGATTTGAGACAGGATTCAAACTCTAGAGTGGCTCCGGGTTCTGGGCTGTCCACTATCGTCTACTACCTAATCGCCAGCGGGAACTCATCGAGGATATCCTGGAATCACTCCGGGATGTCCTAGGGCTCCTAGGAGTCTGGGCTGGAAAAACAGGAGTTATTTCTTCAGGATCCTTCTAGAGCCCGAGCGTGGCTTCCAGAGAGTGACCAGCGTTTCAATGGTGCTGTTAAGTGTTCTGTTGACATATTGGCTTTGGAGTTCCTGAAACCTCTAGTTGACAGGTATGAGTTTCACATCACCTTTAGGTTCGTTGGAGGGCAATATGCAAGGAGGGTGTGGATGTTTCGGAGTATTCTCATCTTAGTATTCAGTATGCGATGGGATTGTCTCAAAAAGATTGCGCAGATTATGGCTTTATATTTCAGGATCGGTCCTATAAACATTTTTCATGTGTGTACTGAAGTCTTACTGGTGCATCTTCTGAATTTGCCTCTCAGTGTCAGGACTGCAACCGTGCCATGAGAAGAGTCGATTTTTTGAGTGTTGTGGGTATAAAATTCGATAGGGGCATTCTGAGTAGAATGTTCAGGTCTGAAACCTTGTTTGTGTGGGGGTATGACGTTGTTCTGTTAGTCAGTAGTCGTTCGAATAATCCACCTAGGCAGCTTAGGAGACTGATTGGTCTGTAGGATTCGGGTTTGGAGTGATCTTTGTGTAGTTTGCCAACCATTTGGAAACAGGCGGAAGTTTCAGGCAAGCATTTGGGCGAGCGTTTGGTTTTTGGACAGTGATGAGAGAAACAGAAAGATATTTTCCACCTTAACAATACTGGACAAATCATATTACTATAAGAAAGTGTTTGATTCATTATGAATTCCAAGAAATTCATTGCCTGAGATGAGAAATTTGGTTATATAGAAGAATAGCAGGGTAGAAAATTTTGTTTACAGTCTTAATTATAAGTTTCCGAATATTGAGCACCGTTCTTAGATGTTTCATTATCTTACAGCCTTCTATCGAGTGAACTACGATTCCACTCTGTGGAGAGAAATCAGAACCATCCTGTACACGAACTACACCGAAATTGATGTTCTCAATAGAGCACAGATTGTGGACGACTCTCTCAACCTTGCCAAAGCACGCATCCTCACGTATTCCGAAGCATTCAAAAATGTTATTTATCTGATAAGTGAAACTGAATATTTTCCCTGGGTGCCTGCCTTCAGAACTTTACTTCTATTGAAAACACGATTAGGGGAAAATAGCGTTCTGGAAAAGAATGTTGATTCATTCATGTTGGAGTTGATGGAAGGGGTGTATAACAGCGTGTCTTTCACGAAGTTGGATGAAAACGACCATATTTACATGCTGAAGCTTAACTTGGTGTTGGGACAAGCTTGCAAATTGGAAAAACCAGACTGCGTGAAGACTGCTAAGAAGTTGTTCAAAAATTCGAGACAAGGAAAAAGGTGAGATAATGAGTTAGAAAGGGAATGTGAGGCATTTGCAATACAATGCATAAGCCAGGGCATATAACGCAAAAGATGGGCTTTGAAATCAACTGAATTTGTCTTGGTGAATATATATGCTTCAAGCAGCAGAAAATGAAAAAAGCTTCATTTTATATTCATGAAAATTGTGAAGTGAACATAGAATATTGTGGTAAAAGGTTCTGTTCTGAAAGGAAAGTTTGTTGGCCATCAATGAATAATATTTGCTATGAAAGTAAAAGATTTGCTAGCTGTCAGAAATTTTTCTCCATCACAGAATTTCCAATGTTCAACATTTTGCGATAATTGTTGGTGTACCAGGTCTGTTGAAAAAGAAATATATTGAATTTCTATTTTTCTCAAAAGATATTTATTTATTCATCAATTTCCATTTTGCCTCCTTCAAAGTAGTCTTCCAATACTCGAAGGATTTCTGATATGCTCTTTTTGGTATGTCCTTGAGTTCTCATAGCGTTTCAGTTTTTATCTCCTCAATCGTCGCAAAATGCCGTCCTTCTATGTGTTTCTTCAATCTTGGGAATAGGAAAAAGTCGAAGGAGGGCAAACCTGGTGAATATAGTGGCAGAGGCCACTATATTCACCATGAACATGAACATGAACATGATGAAAAAATTATGAACAAACAATAATGCAGGTGCATTATAGTCATGCAAAAGCCAGGAATTGTTTTCGAAACGTTTTCTTCATATCGCAAGAACTCCTATCTGATGCACTACGCTACGATAGTCGAAGAAAACACTAAGAGAAACCTTGACATTTGATTGAACTTTTTGATGCTTTTTTTTTGTCTTGGCTCTCCTAGGCATTTTTCTGATTCAGAGTATAATCACCGTATGCCACTGTAAACATTTCATGTTTCTGAGCACTTAATTCCATATTGTGCACAAAATTTGATGCGAATTCGTAGCACGCGAAATTTGAAATGCATTTGTTTTCTGAAATAACTTCTGTTTATTACGTTGCATATTTGTCAGCCAGTCTGATTGATGTAATGTGCAAATGTTGACTAATTGAACATTCTTGTGTTTATATGTTTGAAAAAATATTTCGTTGCAGAGGTATAGTTATACTAAAGATTTGTAATTTTTATGATAAAATAATCCAGATCAAAGAATGGACAATAAATATCTCTAGTTGCTAAGAAATTTGATCATCATTGAAAACATTCATCGAACTGTTGCTAAAATGCAGGCATTTAAAGTTTACCAGCAAACATAAACTTACTGGAAATTATCCGATTTCTACTAGGAATCTTCAAATATAATAAAGAAGGAATTCGATGAAATGGAAAAAAATCATTAAGGGCCGCATCAATTATTATACATAGATTCCCATTCTTTTTTTAAATGACAAGTTATGTATTGATCATATTGCTTATTAACGATTGAAATTCTATTTCAGTATCAACAAAAACCTCAAACCGATTGTTTACTGCAATGGTTTGCGCTATAGCAACAATATCGAGGAAGACTGGGAATTTTTATGGAACAAATATCAAAGTACTGAGGTTCCAATTGAGAAAAAAATTATTTTGGAGGCTCTTGGTTGTACTAAGAATATCACAATTCTGAAAAAGTAAGTACAAGTTATATTTATCTCAAAAATGATCAAAGAATATGAAGATATAATATTCATGGATTATTCAAATACTGCTGAAGCTTTCTGAAAGTCACTAAGTAATAACATCAAAAATGTTCATATCAAGTGGATTCATATGAACGACTTACAAATATACATGGTGATAAAATTGAAGAAAGGAGGATAAAATCTCCTCCACAACAAACAACAGTCACAGAATATGAAGATATAATATTCATGGATTATTCAAATACTGCTGAAGCTTTCTGAAAGACACTAAGTCATAACATCAAAAATGTTCATATCAAGTGGATTCATATGAACGACTTACAAATATACATGGTGATAAAATTGAAAAAAGGAGGATAAAATCTCCTTCACAATAAACAACAGTCACAACTTCTATTTCAAAAGTGAGAATTTCGACCTAATTGAGTTTTCGTGTGATTTCTTGATGACACTTAATCTTTTTCAGTAACCTAATTAAAAAAAATTGGGAAATCTCATAAAATCTCATAAAAAACTTGAGAAAGTTCATAGAATCATTGGGTTTAAGTAGATTCATCTCTTCCAAAGACATGAAGCCGAGTATTGGGTGGGTAGTTCTTCAAATATTCGAATAGATGCTGTTATTTTCAAATCAGCTGCCCAATTCAGGTCCACCAATTTCATTATTATCAAATAATCAGAAATTGGACAGGTGATGAAATCTTCGAAAATTGGACAAATAGTGAAATGAAAAAAGGCTGACTCACAAATATCGCAAAGAACTTCAATGAGTCGAGATACCAATTTCAGCAAGCCGAAAATGGTCCATGCAGTGACAGTGGGTCCAGTAATCCTCTAAGTGGTTACAAAAAATATTATCTAGAAAAAAGGTAGCTAACTTGTTGTTTACTGCTTCTCGCTGGCTCACCGTGGTCAATAACTTCACCAACATTTTTTCTTCGGATTACTCACACAGTTTGTCCAGCCTCCAGCCACAAATACGTCTGCCTCTCAGTGGTTAATCAAGATGCTCTCCAAATCTGCAGTTCACTGCTAAAGATAGTAGTCTGGCATACCATTCACAAGTTGGCACTGTTTCTGTTTGTCTAGCTTCATAGAACATTAATATTTTTCTAAACACAGCTGCATCAGGACTATACTCTTCAGTCAGTAGCAGTGAAAGGTTGTGGTAAGATATTTCTTTGGTGAGTTGCGAAAAAGACAGCGTACATATCGCTGTTCCCGTCAGACTCATAAGTGCATCTATTTCTTTTTTATTTTCAATATACTGCTTCAGCTTTCCACATTATATCGTTCAGTATTCGTCTGGCCTATAACACTGAATGAACATTAATCTGGATCTATTGTAATAATCTGCAATTGGTATTCACCTCGTCGTCAGTGTAATGATCAATGAGGCACTCCAGGACAGTTTCCAATTGATATTTATTTCGAAAGTTACATGTATGTTTGATGGTGGTTGACAATGTTTCATGGTCAATTTCAAGTCAGAACTTCATATATTAGACAATGAAAGTCTGAACTAATGAAATTTATCAATTACATATAGCACACATAACAAGAAAATATTTCAAATAACTATAGACCAGTCGCTTTGCTATGAGTGTTATCAAAAATCACGGAGAAAGTCATAAGCCACCATATTCTTGAATATTTGGAAAGCTTTAACATCTTGAGCGATCATCAATATGGCTTTCGGTAACAAAGATCAACAGGCGACCTTCTGTCGTATGTCACCTATATTTGGAATAACGCAATCGAAAAACATGGAGAGTCGAGTGCTTTTGATATCTCTGAGGCCCTTGATGTGTGGCATGAGGGGTTTGCTGACCGAACTTCGATGCTATGGCTTGTGTATAGCTCTCCAGCTTCCTGAAAGAACGTTCTTTGCAAGTGACCGTCGATGGATATCTCTCGAATAGTTTTATCATCAACGCCGGTGTTCCTCAGAGATCCATATTGTATATCAACGACGCATTGGAAAAAACGAAGAATCCAATGAATTGCTTTGCTGACGACAGGACACTTGTCTCGACATTTCATTTGGATTCCAGGACATCGGCTGCGGGTGCACATCTCTACCGGCAGTAGGAAGTGGTATACCTTATTGAGGATCTAGATGTGATTTCGAATTGGAGTGAAAGTTATCAGGTTCGAATGAATGCCAGGAAAATCCAGACATAGGTTTTCTCCAAAAAGATAAACGTCCTCGAACTGAATATAATAATGTCCGGACAAACAATTCGCTGACCGCTTTGATGAGTTTATTGGGGGTTGAATTGGACACCAATATATCTCACAAGTATGTCTCTGAAATTGCAAAGGTTGCTTTTCAAAAGCTTTTGAACCAGAAAACTGTACACACCTCAGCAACTGTTGATGCTTTATAAAGCTCAGATAAGACCTTCTTTAGAGTATTATTCTCATGTATGAAGCCCCATACCTGAAGCTGCTGGATCCCATCTAGAGAAGAGCCATCCACCTGATTGGACATGCGAACATCACTTGCAACCTCGAAAGTCTGGAACATCGAAGACATATTGAGGATTCGTCTCTATCTATAGATACTTTCACGGAAAATGTACAAGTGACTTAGCAAATGAATTTAATTTCCAGCGATTCAAATCCAATGTGAATTGCTACTTCCGCATAGACACCGTTCTTAGAGCGCCTACAGGATTTTCCTGTAGTGCTTGTGTTTTGCCCTTAAAAAACAATCACGTTTTTTAAGAACACATCCAATATACATCGACTTATTGACTAGCTCGACATCTTTTCTCTTTTGCCACGTATGTATGCTCAATGTGCGTGCCTCAGTAATATGATGGGCTGCCAGAGCCTAGTGGAACATTAAAAAAATTGAGATCAATGAATGCATAAATGACGAAAACCTCATGTAAAAGTACTAAAAATATTTTGGGACTAATTCTTGCCTTTTCATCAGGTACCTGGAGTATTCTGTGAACGATTCATATGGAATTCGTACCCATGACGTCCCTACTGTTTGGTCATCAGTGTTTTCATCCAGTTCAGAAGGTGTTGATGTGGCGTTGGATTATCTGTGGAAAAATTATGAAAAACTTTATCGATAGTGAGTATTGGTGTTGAGCTAATAAGAAAGATATTTAGAGTTGTGTACTTTCAGCTATCCAAGTGCGGCTTCCATAGTGTCAGAGATTGCGGACAGGTTAACTACTAAGGAACAAGTTGACAAGGTAACATTTTGTCTCAAAACATCAGAAGCTCAAATTATTGAACTTCCTTATATGAAAAAATAATTTTAAATTGGAACAAACGTTAAAAATCTGTTTAAAATTTGTTTTTCCGTTAACCAGCTGTCGCACCCCTACGAATGACAACCCTCAGAAGTCGAAACTTGTGCGAGCTAAGGATTAATGAGGCCTCATCTTTCATTCCTGATTCCTAACACGTAAATGATGATATGCATTGTTCCATACATGTATCAGCCGTGGAAAACCATCAACACTACGTTGAAGACAGCGAATTTACTGTCATCTATGTTATCAACGCACAATGTTGTTTGTCATAGAAAATAATGTAAAGCTATTCAGTTGAATTGATGAAGCAGGATACACCTACGTTTAGAGAGGTTCCATCCTAATCAATTTACCAACCATTCAAGTAACTACGACAGATCCAGATGTTGGAAACACCATGATGAATCTCTTGCTCTTCCACTCCAGTCTATTCGACCTGCTGCTATCATAGAAAGATTAACTTTGAAATGGAATATTCAAAAAGCAAACTACTTCACTTCACCACTCTACATCACTAGTTCGAGAAAGTAGAATGATATTGGAATGCAAGCATATTTGTAGCAACTGTTTTTTTTCAGCATTATCATTAGTATCAGTATGAACCATCTTCATCCCTGGTGTGGATATTCAACTATTGGCAATCACTTCACTCATCAAATAATTTGTCGTTTCAGCTTGAAGACTTGGTTCGTAAAGAGCACCTGCACTCATCACTGAAATCTGCAGCAATATGTGCTGTTACCTCAGCAAAAGTCAATATTGCTTGGACTTCGGCAGTAACAAGTGACTTAGAACGATATTTTAATAAACGTGGTAATATTGCCTCTTTTTCAACAATCCATCGTTAGTTTTCTACAGTGTGTTCATTCAATAGTTGGATGTTTTTAGTTGTTCTCATTTGAATTTTTTTCTGAGGTTATTATACTTTAATGTTATCTAGTCTATATAGTTTTGAAAAAAGTAGTTCTGGTTCAACTGATAGTAATAATAGACTGAAAATAATTCTAATAAATACACTTTTTTCATACCAGAACAAAAATATTTTCCATAGAGGCACATTTCGCTAACCTATTTTTAGTCATCTCCTGATGATGCTTATTTAGCGAAACGCCCGACAGGAGATATTACTTTTGTTCTAGAGAGGAATAGCATCTGATCAATAAAATACTATTTTGTGATTCGAACTTCAACTAACCTCCTTCTGAACCAATATTCGATGAAAATTCCATACAAAATTGTAATTCAATAATTCGAGACTCTTTAATGTTTTGAAAACGAGTGTGTGAAAATTACAAAAGAGAATAATATTAAGTCATCAATAAATGTAATGAGTAAATCGAATGTTGTTTATAAAATACCTTGTTTGGATTATGAAAAATCATATATATTGGTCAAATCTCTCGACCTTTGAAAAGTCGCATTACTTCATAAAAAGAGATTGTAGCAGAAATATCAAATCGTATGCATTATCTGAATATGAGAATGAACTTGACCATTGACCTAACTATGCTTGTTTTCAACTCAAAATGAGTTTTTTTAGGAGATGGTAATGTCAATGCGAATAATTTAATGAATGAACTTATTTGAATAATCTCAGTTAGATATATTCATACCAATAGATTGTCTTCTGATCGAAATTTTCCTCTTTGATACTCATCAATCATATTTTTTTGTTATTGATACCAATTTTCTTCTTCATTCTCACGCTAACAAGTATTTTATCATTTATCTACATATGTTTAAAATATGTTCAAAATCTGTTTTTCCGTTAATCAGCTGTCGCTCCCATACGAACGACAACTCTCAGAAGTTGAGAAACTTGTGTGAACTAAGGACTAACGAGGTCTTACCTTTTAACGTGTGATTCCTAACACGGTTGCAGAATTATTCCAGCTTCAACCAGATAAATTCTCTCGAGAAAAATATCTGGTCAAGGCAGGAATCGAACCCACGGTCTTCCTATCGTGAGTCGGGCGCACTACCACCACCGCGACCGATTCCACAACAACACTTACAATTACACACCACACAACAATTACAATATACCCATTCCAGTTGTACTGACAAATATTACAGTCTTCTACAAAATAGCCCTAGCAACTATTAGGTTGGGTTAGGTTAGATCCAAAGTGAGTGGATCTATTCGAGCCTCCACCGTAACCTGTAAGGGTTTATTGTGGCTCACACCTATTTACGCTCGACCAAATAAACCCAGCTTCTTAACGAAGCCGATTAGTTTGTATGGATCAGTTGGAGTCATAAGCTCGACATCCATCTCCTCTGTAGACTCGCTCCTGATCTAAATTTACAGGGAGGTCAGTTGGAGTCGTAAGCTCAACATCCATCTCCTTTGTAGATTCAGCGTCAGTCCACTTTGTCCATGAAAGTCCCACGAGTAGCTAGGAAAAGAAGGTCAATCACGGCAGAAACCCACGTTACCGACGACAGGGTGCCCCGTATCTCGAATGTTCCGTAGAGACAGCTGATAGGCTCAGTGTCATTCATTTTCTCGGCACGGATACAAATACATTTCAGGATTAAACCATCTTTGGGATGCCATTCAGTTAGGGAAGAATAGAACCTCAAGTGATTATGTCATTCCCGTATCCAGCGGGGCTACGTGGGAGCAGGCATCCGATGGCCGGTTTGCTTAACCCCCACATCCCAAGCCAATGATCTCGCCAAAATCAGCATGCACAATAGTTCAGGCAGTGAAAGATGAATAAGGACAGCCAACCCGCATTTTCACTATTAACTGCAACCCTACGATTTTTTTTCTTTGCTGAGGTTTCAGTTGTTAACAGGGGGATATTTAATTAAACTTTTTGCTATATGTCGAGCTCTCGGCAATGTTTATTACCTTCTTGAGGACAAATGAAATACATACATACATTTTATCAACTTAAACCTCAGGAAAGAAAAATATAATATTCTAGGTTATTTTGTTTCACCCCGATGTCAAAAGGTCCTACTTCTCTTTTTGTAGTTGAGCTAGGAGCTACTCTGACTTTCATATACGTTGTTATTTTATTAGTTTTACTTGAAATTCCCTTGCTAAAAATATACCACAATCATGTACTGACTAATTGGAATCTTCGATGGTTTATATTACAGCAGTAATTTTTGAGCATGAACCTTTCAGTTTGCCTTTTCTTACAGTTTAACACATTCTCTACCTATTTAGCGCTGTTCATTTTTCAGATTGTGGAAAGAAGTGGAAAAATTTAACGTTGTTTTTAACAAAGTGGTTAAGGTTTTTAGTGTCACTATTTTTTGGGTTAAAAGGCCGTCGATTTTTGAAATTTGGTCACTTACGCCATCAAAACGTCAGGAAGAAATTTCTAAAATCGACAGCCTTCAATCCCGAAATTAGTGACACTGATAAGGTTGCTTTTGTTTTCACCGAGATCAGTTACCTTTTGCCCTACAAATGTATCACGTATATGTGCTTTTTGGGTGGTCCCAGTCCGACCCTGACTCAACCACATCTTCCGAAAGAGTTCGCTAGCAAAAGTTGGAAATCTCATAAATAAGTTGATAATCCCATTCAAATCTCCCTTCCCTAAGCGAGACCCAAACTTAATGTAGACCTGAAATATTGGAACTTTCAATTAAACTTCGAACTTAGTGAGGTACTGAGCTTCATTGTCATGCAAAATTTCACACTTGATAATCAATTATTGTTTCTTAAACACTGACACATACCGGGTAGGTTCTGACTTTCTCGTTAAAGGAAAATTAATATTTATAGGAGCGTGGCATGTGTGTGACCTTTTCACGGCTTTTCAAGGTAATTTTATTGACGCTCCCTTCAAATGTTGCAAAATTGACATGGTCCAAATCTATGTACAGAAACCAAGATACAAATTGTGCATTGTAGAGAAGTGGGTGAATCAGCTTTTTTGCTCCATCCACGTTTCATTCACTACAAAAATCAAATATTATTTTCCTCGATATCAACGATATTGATAGTCAATAGTTTTCTAGGAAGCCTGAGGAACATCGTTACTTTTCGCAGTACCGTCATCCATGCAACTCCGCTAGAAAATTTTCTCGAGAAAAATATCTAGACGCTTCTGGGTTGGGAAATTATTATTTATAACTTTATACAGATGCTCCAAAAATTAAAATTCCTAATAAATTCGGAGTTGCCACCATGGACGGATCAATTACACGACTTGCTCATCCGTCATTTTTGAAAAATTCACCATGGACGGATCATTTACACGACTTGCTCATCTGTCATTTTTGAAAAAATTCAATTCAAATTCGTTTGTTCGTACCATAAAAAATTTGCACGAATTATGCAATGAAGACAATACTCATAAATATTAAATTACAATATATATTTCATCAATTGCATATACAGAATCATTGGTCAAAAGTGTTTTCACACTTCTTTTAAATTGGTTTATAGAAGTTTTTCTCATATTCCTCTACAGCAAGTTATTGTAGAAACACAGTAAAAATCAACCGGCAAGTCCACTCCCACTACTTTCATTCATAAATTCAGGTGTAGAGCCAATTTCGTTCTTTCACCATAGACGTGCGCTTGTATAATAATGTCTTTTTTACATCTCCCATTTTCTAATTACTTAATAATAAAACAAACAACAATAACCAACTACAAAACTGAAAACAATAAAAACAACAGGGAATAAACTAAACACAATATCAATTTCCGACCGTTCATTATAACTAATCCGATACCCGTGGGACCGTCGAATCCTTCGATACTACAGCACTAACTGCGTTGGATGAGAATCTCATCCTGAGAGCAGTTGAAGGTCCCCGGCAACTCGGGTGGATCACGTGGTAAGAGAGCCTACTGGTTATATTATTCTACTGTGGTAGAAATTTCCAGCCCATAATGGCGACCGCTTATAAGATATATTTTGATAATCTCTTAGGTGTATGTTCTTGTGATTTTTTGTCGAAAAACTGTGAGTATCCGATTATTTTTCGATTTTTTATATGTTATTATGAACGTACAATGATATTCTCAATAAATAAATTCCCAGTACAATATGTATTTTGTTCTCTTTAAAGACTGATTCTTCTTTGATCAATGAATAACCGGGTACATTTCATTGCTTGTCCCTATGTGATAATGTTATAGCTGATTGCTGTGTAAGCGAGAGCATAGTAAACATTGACTAGCGATGCTTTTCTCAGGGTGAGTAAACTTCAGTCTGTAAATAGCGAAAAATGTTTGGTTGAATTTTCTGCACACATAGTTGATTTGTTGAGATGAAGTGAATTTTTCATCAATCGTCGTGACAAAAAATTCATAGTTCAGGCTTATAGGTAAGTACTTCAAAATCTTTTATTTCGCCACTAATTTCTTCACTGGCCAAATTTTCTGTAGATAATTTCACGGGAAGTGTTCAAAAGTGACTTGGCACATTTGATTCCACCAAGAGCGGTACATATCAGAAATACGCGACGTACTGCGGCTGGTCATTGTTATGAGGTTCAACTCAGTACACCTCGAACTCCACTGCTCAAGAACTCTTTCCTTTGGAGAACTGCGTTTATATGGAATAAACTTCCTGGGAACTTTTTCCCAAATAGATTTAATATCCAGCGATTCAAATCCAACGTGATTCGCTACTTTCGAACAAGCACCGCTCTTAGAGCGCCTTAAAGATTTTCGTGTAGTGCTTGTGTTTCGTCCTTAAAAAAGTACATAATCTTCAATATCATCGTCGGTTTTTAAGGAAACTTCTTGGGAATCATCCCCTGTAACCACTATTGAAGTATCATCTGCATACATGAACAACCTATCTCCTTTGATGAAGTTGAACGAATCATTCATGTACAAGAGAAAAATAGGAGGGCCGAGTATATTCCTTTTGGGGGTTCCTGAATCAATTTTTTCGCCCATGGAAAGTTTTGTTCCAATTTCAATATACCTAGCTGTTTCGATTTCTTATGAACGAAATCAGCCAATCATTCACACCCTTTTGAAACGTGTTCTAGCTGAAGCTAAAGCAAAAACTGAATTTGATGCAAACAGGTATGTCATGTACAGACTGCTATAACTTCAATAAACTATATCGTGTTTGTGATAACCTTGTTTTTAGTTTGAATAAGTTGAAATCCAGAATGGCTGTTCATATCCAGTAGAGTCAGTACAATTTTTTCGATGTTCATTATTCAATTTTTATTGTATTCCAATCGAAACGAGCCAGCCCACTTGAGTCATGCAATATTGTGACTGTAGAAATTGTGGAATATATCAACTTTCGATATTACTGAAGTTTTTTCCCAACACCTCTACAAATGTTTCGATCACCAAGTGATCATCTTCAAGAGGAATATTAAACTAAATATACTTA